TGCTTTGTAAGTTGAATCAGATTGATCGTGCGTTTCACTGGACAGCACGAGTGCGCGAAGGAGGAACCGAATAACAGTTTAAAATAAGTATTTCGGAATGTGACGTGGACTTTTGTCCGCGTCGTCGACTAAACTCCCGCTCCTTCGCGAATAACGTTTGTTGCATTGATCTTAGGGGCCAGTGTGACGCGCTGCGCACGGTGCCCCCCCACTTGCTGTAATGGTACTGGAGTCGGAGGGGCGAAAGAAAAGGAGGGGAAAAGAAGGTAGAGAAGAAAAAAAAAACAATGAAAAATTGTTAACCCGAAGAGCGTGCAAATGTACGAAGGTTAATGCGGCGCGGTGCGCAGCGCGATAATTAAAAGCCCGGAGTGAAGTCTAGACTCCTGTGGAGAACAGTGAAGAAGAAAAAAAAAAGCGAAAAAATTGTTTTAAAAATACCAAAAAAAAAAAAGAAAGAAAAGATGAAAGGAATTTCGAGATAAAGGGAAACCGAGAGATGATTGTGCGAATTTCGTAATGGTACTTTGGGACGCTTCGCGTAGACGGTCTCTCGCGACTGAATTTATTGTCGAGTCTGAATTGGATGGACCTATGTTGGTTTCCTTTTTTTTTTTTTCAATTTCTCAATACCGACGCTTCCGAACGCAATGCAATTTTTTTTTCAAATCACCGGACGCGCTCGTTTAACCCTTGTCCCAATGTTTGCCAATACGGTTTTCGATGCTTTGGATGGAGAGAAAAATTGTATTTTTTGTTGTTGTCGTTGTCTTTTTAATGCGCGTCAATTACTTCGCGCTCACTTTTCTCAGCGAGACGCCTCGGATATGGGCGACGGGACCGTCACGTGGGAGACTCGACTGCGACGCGTTTATTTCATTTGCCAGCCGCGAGAGGCGCGGGGTGACGTTGCACGTTCCTCTTTGATCCGCTGTATTCCGTGTGAGAATTTCGCCTGACTCCAGCGATACGTGAAATCCTCGCAGTCGCGGTCAAACGGGGGGAGGGTCTCGTTCTCGAGCGGATCGTTGGGAAGAGAAATTTTGTCCAAAAAAAAAAAAAAAGAGAAAAAGGAAAAAGAAAAAAAAACCGTCGCGCGTTACGCATGTAAAAATACGTGCCCCCTTCCCGTATTACACATATGTACATGCAAACGCAGGCATGTACACACACATGCGTTTTTACGCAATTTCTGATTCTTTTTTTTTTTCTTTCTTTTCCACGTTTCTTACTACTCTGTCGTACTTATCTGTATTTTCTTGAAACTCCGAAATTGCGAATTAAACATAGGTTTCAATTGTACGTTATCGTCGAGGCACACGCGCTACCGTGGAAAACCAATAGGGGGGCAGAGTGTTTGTGCGTATAACGTAAAGCCGCTTAAGAGCGAATGACAATTACGAGCGGAAGCGAGTGAAGGAAACGGAAGGAAGGAATGATAGAAGGAAAAATATGAAAAAATTTGAAAAAAAAAAGAGAGGAGGCGAAAATAAGAGATATTGAATTTACTTTTTTCTTTTTCTACCAGGTAAACTATGTTTATTTCCAATTTGTAAAGATGGGCTTGGCCGACTTTCGTCACGAAGTGGTATTACACTTTGCTTTTATTTGTCCTTGATCTTCATTATTCAGCGACCAGCCCACTCTGACGTAAACCTGTCCAAATTTTATTTTCACCGTGGAAAGGAGGAACGCCGGTGATTTCTTTCCTTTAATAAAATTCTGATTCAATACCACTGACACCTTGTCGTACGTCTCTGATTTTTCTGATTACTGCCCGCAGCGAATCCTGTCCTCGTCGTCTTGTCCCGGCCTTTCGGCAGCATCCAATATGAGGTTCCTCTGGTTAGGAGAGAGAGAGAGAGAGAGAGAGAGAGAGAGAGAAAAGAACGAAGATGTGAATGCGGCAAGTTTTCAACGTGGCCTCGTTGGACTGTCAAGTGGAAAGTCGTACCATCGATGACGTACGATGATAACTCACGAGGGACGATCGACGACGAAGAGAAATTGTCCTGCTACTGGGAATATCGAAGTTGCGATAAATTTTAAGCTTATCACTCGCGAACGTTAATATTTTATCGTCCGGCTGCAAACGAGCCGCCATGCGGCGTTATTTCATTGGCAGTCTATATAAAAGTACCTATTGTCCGTTTCCTTGGGACAGCAAAGCGTTCGAGGTTGAAAATCGCAGAGCCTCCAGGTATTGATATTACGTTACCAAAGAATCGTAAATGTCGCCACTGTGCATTATGCCGCGTGTAATTTTCTTTTAGATCGATCCGATCGATACGTTATTAACGTTTCATGGCGAAATCATTGTTCTCGAGAAGTTGGCACGAAAGTAGGAGAAACGTTTTAATTTTACCTCTAAGGCATCCGCGCGTTCAGTGTTCCCAACTGTTGTCAGAGAGTAGCGTACTTGGAATATTAATTGTACCTTGTATTATGGCAATCTCAATTAGCGTCGTAATTGACTTGAAAATATTTAACATCAATGCAATCTCGTCTTGCGAATCCTTAATTTATCTCGTTATCGCTGCGACGCTGAAACCCTCACGTGTTACGGCGGCGTCGAGGAGGAAATCGATTTAATTATCTGTACACGGTAGCTTCGCTCGTCAAACTCTTTCACGTTGTCGTGCTTCACGAAGATGGAGCCACTTGACACTGTCAGACCCAAGACACAAGGGGATACGTATTTAAAATTGTATCTAGAAAACTTCATAATTTACTTCTTAAAAATCGATTTAATTATCCGTACGCGGTAGCTTAACTTGTCGAATCAGTTCGCAATATCGTCGCTGAGTCAAGGTGGAGCCACCTGACTCAGGCAGGGGATAGGAATTTGAAATTTTTTTTTTTACAAAATTTTATACCGTTAACCCTGTCGCTATCGAGTTTACTTTTCAAAATTATCACCGTTCAACCTTCGTGTTAGCTTGGAGGGTCGAACCGTCATAATTTCAGTGGGAATCGCTTATCACAATTCTTCCTAAGAACCAGGGGTTCACGGGTCAGGCAGTTATAGTAGGTATTAGTCCTTGTTTATGTAGGAGTTAGGGTTAAGCGGTAAAGTCAACGACTTTCGTGTTAAGGTTTAAGAGTTATACTCTGCCACCGATACAAACGAACGGGTCAATCATCATACATAATTGCGTAATCAATAACAGAACGACTATTAAATTATTATATTAATCTTTGACAATTCGATATGATCTTTCGTTCGTGCTATTAATCACCGAGTAATCAATCGGTTTTATCGTAAATATATCGGGTGGACGTATCCTTGTGTTTGGTATCTCAAAGGAATTTTCATTTGCTCGATTATCGAACTGTCAAACGTCACGTGAAGCACCGACAAGTTCCAGTTCGTTGTCTGATCGATTTATCTATTCATGACGTTACATAAATCAACGTGATCGTCGTAATCACCATAACAGTTGAATTACGAGCGGACAATTATTCTTGCCATAAAAATGTAACCACGACGAGATCGTCGCGAGCTCACCGATGGTCCGTGGAAATTTGCATGTTGAGTATCTCGGAAGGCTGAATATACCGTGATACCTTTAAGCATCATCGGGCTTCCGGCATTTGAACGAACGCACAAGGTACGTATTGTGCCTCCTGTGTATCCGAGCGTGCATAACCGGAGAAGCCCGGCGGTTGAATCGAAAGTCACTTTTGTTAATAGAAGGGAGAAACCCGGAATGCAAAGTAGCAGTATCAATCACCGATAGCGCTTCGAGTATCGTTCTGTTAATTTCAACGCGTCAAGGGACGTCGACTCCCTGTATTACGGAATTGGTTTGCGAGAGGGACTGAAAGTGACAAATGAAATCATTGAGGTATCGATCGACGTCCTTTGTAACCGTAGAAGCGCTTGTTCATTATTATTATCATGTAAAGCGCCGTCGACTTACACGAGCGAAAATCACGGTCTTAAGTTCGATCATGGTTGAACTCTTTTTTTTTTTTTGACGACTATTTTTGACTTTGGTACATGGCGTTTCTACGTGGACCTGGTACACGTGTAACGTACATACTGCATCTTTTAGCGGTTCGATAATGAGTTAAGAAAATGGAGGCGAGAAAGAAGGAAAATGGGACGATGAAAAGAAATTGGAGACTGATGTGGATGGACGGACGGAGGTCGGAGGTTTTTCGTGAGAATAAAAGAAATCATAGAGAATAATATATCGGTGGAATGGTATTGTAAATGATGAATCTTCAGCTGGTTGGAGATAATGTGCTATATTTGCTAAGTGAGTAATTGCGGGATGTTACGTTGAATAAACAGTAACGAGGCGCCGCTGAGCACGTTTGACAACAGACCGTGTGTACGTTGGAGTGAGAGAGAGAGAGAGAGAGAGAGAGAGAGGTAGGTTGTGATTTTGTAATGCGAGATCTCCCACGGGTGTTTGTTCCACGTATATGTTTTTTATTGTTGCTCCAGTATGTCGCCATTATATGAGTTACGCTTATCAGTCAATATTTGCTGCGCGACAACCTAAATCGTCCGCTTATCGTTCGGTCTCGTCGCACTTTTAATGGCGTCGGTCAAACATTGCCGGCGAGGCTCGTGAAAAATTGATGGGACAGCAGGAGGTCGTTTCTCCACGTACCTGAAGTGTGTCATATCACGGGTAAGTACAAAATCAACGCTGAGTTCCGGTAACACGTCACAAAGCTACAGAGTATCCTAGGAAGCATGGCACTGCTGTGCTTATTGATTTTCAGCAATAGCTTAAATAGTCGAGCGCGCGAGACGCAAGTGTTGCTGGCTAGACAGCTCGAGAGTTATGGATAGATAAAAAAGAAATAGAGAGACTTAAAAAAAGTACGAATAAAGGATCCATCCGGTGGAGAACGTCAAACGTCGAACGGCATCAAGGTAAAAGGATGGTTTTGATTTTAAGTAATGGCCGATTGGCTTGAACTTAGACTTAACTTTATCGTCCTTACGGCGCGACAGGCCCCAGGTATTTTGAGTGATCCCGTCAACAGACACCAGCGGACTAATATCGATTCGGGCAGCCGATTAGGACTAAAAGGCCCTTCGAGAACAATTTGTCCCCCGGTGCGCCTTAAGCTTTCCACGGTGCGGTACGATCCGCCATCCAGCCATCCCGAATGCTCACCAGTAATCATCCTCCTTCATTCTCACTCTCTGCTGCTCCCTGTCTTGTTCTCCGTCTCGCTTTACGCCTCTCCTACTCGTTTGGTGTATCTCTTTTTCTCCCTCCAGCGCTCCCTTCTCCGCTACGTTCTCTCTCCCCTGATTCCCCTCTCTCTCTCCTCCCCACCTCGCCGAGCTCTACGGTCATGGCGATTTTCCCCACGCTGGAAAACCCGAAGAAAGGAAATTCTCAGAGAGAGCGGGTCTATCAAATACATTATTTCTGTTATCGTTCCTGCCGCTTGGCAATGGCACTGCTGGCAGCAGTAGTAGCCGCTGTACAGCCATTCACGATGTAAAGACAAACGTTGAATAATATCGTTAGCCGTAATCCGGCAGTGCATTTAAACACTTTGGGAAATAGCCGTATATTTCGGTGTGACGTAGCATTCGATACGCGTCGGCTGGATGCGCGCGCAGAACGTAGGGGCGCAAAGGACTGCGGTGGTGGGGCGAACTCTCTAGTAGAGAACATGAGGCGCTCGAGCCAGGGGTGGAATTACGTTGGTATAGCTGGCGAGAAGGGTGCGCCCTAGTTCGCCTCGGCGTTTCTTTTTCGTTTCGCGAGAAATTCCCGTGCGCTGCTGCAGTTTCGCGTGCGCCCTTTGAATAATGCGTTGCCTCGGCGAGGACTTGCCGACCTGGACGTGGAACACGACGAGTATCGGGACTCTTCTGGCGTCTCCTTTTCATCGTCCCGAGGCGAGAGTGTCGCCGCGCGAGACTGTACGACGGTGGTGATTCTTTTTTCATCTTGACTCTACGACGACGAGACGTTAGTAGAACAAGGACGTTTTCTTGGACAGAATTGAAAGACAAGAAGAGAAAAGACATTTGTGGAGCAGAAAGAGTGCCGTGTATCCTAATCGCGTGTGAAAATTGTGTCCTGTCTTTTTGTGTTAAATGTGACGGGATATTATCATGGTGTCGCCGGGGTCGAACACTAACTTGTGATCTTTTCTGATATGTCAACCCGCTTTATGGTTGCACGAGGATAATTTTTAACCTTTCAAGACGTAATATGACGTGTGCTGATATGACGAGTCACGGACGGATGATTCGGGACCGCTTGATCCGCCTCGTTTACATAATTAGCCTCCGGTGCAGAGACGACGGACTGGAGTGAGTGTGCGTAATTTTTGTGAAGGGTGAGAAGGACGAAGTAAGCAGACGCAGGGGACGCTGGGGACTTAGGGTCTGGTAGAGTGACGAGGGTGACTGCGAGTGAGAGAGAGAGAGAGGGAGGAAGAGAAAGAAGTGAGAATAAGGGAGAAAGAGAGAGAAAAGGTTAGAGATCGAGGGAGAGAAAAATGGGCTCTCGTTGGAGCTCCGTGGAGGCGAGGCACGCGAAAATGTTTTCCACCCAGTGAAGCACGTAAGGGAGAGCCCGGAGCTAAAGAACGAGAGTGAGCGATACGAGATAAACGTGAAACACCATGGACCTGTTACCCCTACTGTACGCTTCAGCTATGTTTATCATTGTGTTCGGTGAGAAGTGCGCCGACGACTGTTCCTGCAAATGGAAGAGTGGGAAACGTACGGTGGAGTGCATAGATCGCTCCTTGACTGGTATACCCGAGTGGATCGATCCGGAGACCCAAGTGTTGGACACAAGCGGCAACGACATCAGAGTGCTGCCGAGCAATATTTTTATACGGCTACATCTGACGAATTTGCAGAGGCTATACCTACGCGGTTGCCATATCGACCGAATCGATAACAAGGCTTTGGCCGGTTTGACTAATCTCGTCGAGCTGGATTTGAGCAATAACCTATTGAGCGGAGTACCGGGCGCCTGCTTCGCGGACGTCCCTTTTCTCAGGGACCTCATCCTCGCGTTCAACCCCATATACAAAGTATTTTCGTACGCCTTTAAGAACACGACGAACCTCGTAAAGCTGGACCTATCCAACAGTCAGATTTCAGAGGTCGAGTCGAACGCGTTCCAAGGCCTGGATCTACTGGAGAGTCTCAAGCTCAATAACAATGGTCTCAGTACACTTCATCCGGGAACGTTTGACCCGCTGAAGAAGCTCACGAGTATCGAGCTCCATGACAATCCTTGGGTATGCGACTGTCATCTGCGTGACATGAAGATGTGGCTGGTTAAGCACAATGTACCGACCCTCGTGACGCCTCGTTGTCAAAAACCAGATTTCATCGCGGACAAGACATTCGCCGACCTCACGATTGACGACTTCGCCTGCCGTCCTGTCCTTCTTATCGCGAGTCCCTATAGCGAAGCGACGATCGGCGAGAACGCCAGCATAGTCTGTAGAGTGAGCGCCATACCACCAGCTCATATCAGATGGTACTGGAACGGTCGTCTACTCGCGAATCACTCCTCCTTCAGTAGCTTCCAGAAGATAATCATCTACGAGGTGGGACAGTTTCGCAAGAAGAGCACCCTCGTTCTGACAAATGCTCAGGAGGACGACTCCAGTGAGTTCTTGTGCATGGCTGAAAATCGCGCTGGGACCGCCGAGGGTAATTTCACCCTCAACGTATCCCTCAGGACCGCCGGCATGTCGACCTTAGGATCCGGCCAGATTGCCGGCATCTCAGCCGCCCTGGTCGTCCTCATACTCTTCATTCTTCTCATCATACTCGTCCTGTTCATCCGTCTGAGGCGTATGCCCTTCAAGGAATCCAAGTCCTCGGCGCCGCTCGAGGGTGTTCCGGATAACAGCGCGCCGGAGAGTGCGAGTACGCGCCGAAAAAACGACAATACCGAGACGACCTCGTTCAGCGAGTTCTCGAAGCCGCCGGTCTCCCTGAACCTCAGCTACGTTCAGCGACCGCAGCAGACCCTCACCGAGGAAACGGACTACAGCCTGGAACGTCGCGTCCTCGAGGAAAGTCATCAGCAGCCGATGAGAGTACCACCTGGGGGTCCTTGCTTCTCGTCGACGATATCGCTGATGCCTATTGACAACCCGGATCTTATTCGCGACACGCGTCGAGGTTCAGCGGAAGAGCTCGTAGCGGAATATTCAGCCACGGACTATCCCCGGGTCGACCTCGACGGAAACGGGAAACTACTGTACTCGGGCTGTCTCTGGGACCGGGAGAGGACTTCCGTTTCCGTTAATACCTACCCCTCGAAGGAAGCCCTGGCGTCGATAATTGCTCCGGTCGAGCCCTTTCCTCCTGGTGCTAAGCAGATTCGTGTCTGGCAGAAAGGGGTTCCCGTTCTTCCACCAGTTTCCGCCCTGAAGCGCGTCCTCGGCTCGACACGCAGCTCTCCTGACGAGGGATATCAAGAAGGCACCGGGACGGACGTCTAGGTACCGCTGCTTCATTACTGCGACGCCCGGCATCGCTACTTGGAGTTACGCAGAAGGCATCACGACGATGAGAATGATTAAAACGAACGCGCGCGGGTTTCATGTTATAAAAGGAGCTCGCGGTTCGTAATCGTATCGTGCCGGACGGGCGGTAGTGAAATTCATGATCAGGATATCTCAATCGTCATCGAGACATGATGATTATTTGTGCCCAACGGTAGACTCACGAATAGTCACGATGACCGAAAACACATACACACACGCATACAATAATATACGCATTACATTGGTTACATAATATTAACACACTGTGTGACATACGAACACGGGCGGTGATACACGGACATAATCGAGACTGGACAATGTCATTGTTTCAGTGGTCTTATAGCACAATATTGACGGGTAATTTCTATACGGCTAAGCCAAATACATACAAATTTATAAGTAAAGACTGTAAATGTTCCAAAAATGTATAGATAGCCAGGGCAAATTATTAAAGTAACACGTTGGTATAAATGGATTTTCTAGTCAATTCAATTAGAAACGTTTAGGGAAAGTCTGAGGGCTCTCGTAAGAGGGCTTCGCAGGCATTAGTAGCCTAGGTTGACGTTTCTTTATCATTGTCTTTATCATTCTCGCACCTTGTCTAGCTTTCCCCATGTTACTACCAGCCCTATTTGCCATAGCTCATTTTTACGTTAGATCATTTATAAAACGAGAGAACAAACGAAAGGAGGTATCGTCGAGTGCTACGTGTTTTGATGAATTTCTCCGAGCATTAAAGATTTTATAATTTTATGTTTTTCTATCCGCTACTCGATCGTTACGCAATTATTTCAGAGATCGCCATTGTTAACGATCGACCGAATAATCGTTAAACAATTCCGATGTATCGTCATCGCGTGCCAAACCGACATCCTTTATCGACGGGATGTCTCGCGAAACGCAACCAAACCGGAAATTCGATCTTCTTCCGGCAGCCGCTAAAAATGATGATCGATAGATCGATGATAGATCTTGGAGACGATCTTATTAAAAAAATAAAAGAATTGGAAAATTATTCACTCGGGAAATGAGGTATGATCAACAATAATCAATTAATATCTGAGACCGAAGCCAAATTGGCGGGTAATTTGAAATGTCTATGGGTATTAGGTGTTTCGTATTAATTAAAAGAGAGAAAGAGACGGAGATACGCAAAGAAGAAACTTCATTAAAATGAAGAGCCCCTTATTTCCCCTTCATCCGTCACGTACAATGTGATCGTTGAGTTATCATCGCTGAATAAAATGTTCCAATCGCGATGAACGTTCTCATTCATAATAAATGGATAATCGAGTATGACGTAAACTTCGAGTCTCTCCTGCGATTCCTCGAGTCTCGCCAATGAAAACGAACCCAAAGGACAGACCTGTTCGTTTGCCGCCGACACTCTCGATGAGGTTTCAAGCCACGTTCATTGTGCGTTCCCCGTGCTCCCGTATACTCATCACGTACGTGACGGACGGCTGTGAGAAAGGGAAGGCGGCCACCCTCTCAAATTGCAAATGAAAGCTATCGATCGGCCATTGGTAAACTTAAGATTTATTGGAAGGCTGTTCGAGGATATTAGACATTCTGATAGCGAGGGCGTCATATATCGTGGTTGCTTCGCGACGTGTACATGGAGGCGAACGTAAAGAAGAAAAAAAGAGAAAACAAAAAAATATAGGAAAAGAATAGAAAGGAAGGAAGCAGAGAGCCGAAGGATGAAAAAAGAAAAAGAATTGAACCGAAAGAAAGAGGTCAACGTTCCCTTCCTGCAGTCTCTCTTCCCCCCCCCCGCCCCCCTCCTACTCTGTCTCCTTTACTTCTAGATTTTTCTCCATATCCTTTTTTTTCCACATTCATCTCCCACACGGCCGAGACACGTTAGCTTGAAATGTTGCCAGAACGATTAGGGAACGTGGGCACTGTGCTTACTGGTTACTGTAGTAACGACGCCTTACGGTATCTGTTCCAATGCTGAGTTACACGTGATGTCTCATCTCGTGTGATAACCACGCGATTTAGATGACATCCGATCACTCGTTTCGTATGTCACGTGTATAATATTAATTTGTAAAAATTCGTTATGGCTTTCGTTATGCTTCCTTTGTTTACGTTGTTTTCCCTTCCGCACGATTCTCTTATCCGAGTAACTAATCACTTTTCGACAGATCGATAAGTAGTTTCGTTTCAAAACGTGCACTCATTTTCTATGTGGTTACTAAAGGATAACTACCCGCTAAGTATTACTGCGCGAAATCTTTTTAGGTTAAAGTGACCTGCACGGGCTCGTCACATTTAAAACGAGCTCGAAAGGCCATTGGCGAAGTCGCTATTACTTCCTCGCGACTCGCTAATCGTTCTCGATTTATTTTACCTTAGTCGACTAACAAACCTAGTCATATTTTTTATGAAAATATTCTCAAGTACTTTCACGATATATCTTTCGTTGTACATACCGTAGCTCTGTCACACCGATATTTTACACGCATGCGCAGAAACGTCATTTTGATCATACCTTCTTTACCGATCGATGGCAAAGGATCTCAGGTTGAGATATTTCCACGGTCTGAATTGACAGTTACGAAATCGCGTGAGTGAACTACACTTGGTATTTGGTCGTGTTTTTCTTTCGTAGAAGATATATTTTTTTTCACTCACCCTCGTTTCATTATCATTTCAAATCGGAATCGCTCCCCTCGAGGGATACCCGAATTCGGCCGTACCTCGTGCATATCTGTAGCATGCATATCGACGATTGACGTCAAAGGATGGATCTCTGACAGGCGTCATGGAATCCAGAAGAAATACATATAGAAGGCATCGATGAATAAATTTTGGAGGCTACGAATGTAAACCTAGCAAATGACTCGAAGACATAGTTTATAACCGTAAGAACCTTAAGGATGTTAATGATGTACAAAATGTGTAATTTAGTGTTGCAGGTATACCGTCGAATGACGTAACCTTAATTATTTTTCTTCATTAAAAAAAAAACATGGAAATAGACGAGAACGAAACACACCCACACGATCACAGACACACGCATAAACACGGTGTAAGGATAAAAAATGAGAAATCTATAGATGAACATTTGAGAAATAAAAAGAAAAATATTACGAGAGACACTTTCAAGAGTTACACATAATTTTTTTCTCGAACGTATACATATTATATACGTATCATAGACACACGGTAAATACATATGTGCTATAACGACAGTTGTCGAAATAAACTTTTTTCGATCAGCCATCGCGTTTTAATTAAAACCATCGTCTCGACGTCGCGACGTTAGGTTTCAGAAGGTTTCGCAACGTCGTAACTTCTTGGAAACTTCATCACGAGAATTTTTTCTTTTTATTTTATTTTTTTTTTTCCATTCCTCGGAGCCACTTCTCTTCCATTATTCGCTTCGTTTCTTATCTCTCGCACCCTGTTTACCTTAACACTTCTGCCTTCACAGGCTTCCTTCAGTCTATTCTCTTTTATTCCTTTCCTCCCCCCACCTCTCTTGCTCTCCTTCTTCGTCACAGCTTCATTACTCCCGTTAACGAAGTTGTGACGTGAGACACCTTCTTTTTCTATACTGTGCAATGTGCAATCTAGGAGCCGCATTACTACCCCGCTACTCTCTGCGTCCGACTCGTGACGTATTTTTCGGCTTTATTTTCGTTCCAACTGGCATGACTGCAACTACGGTTTTGATGAAAAAAAAAAGATGAACGCAACGTTTTCCTGGTTCAATACCATTTCACGCGAGTAACGTGTGATTTTACAAACACCGGATATAGATATGAACGATGACTCGTTGTCGGTATCAAATCCATATTGAACAGCGGTACCATACACAAGCACTGCCTGTAGAGCTTGTTCTCTGTTGTTTCTCTTATTTTGTGTTTTCTCCCAGCGGATTGGTAGTAATGTCAAAAAACCAATTCACGATCCGAACGGCACTTCAGTTTCACTGTGGATGCCGCAGGGAAGCTAATGACGTTAATTATACGAGAGCCATTTGTTCAGTCGGCTGCCAATTAATATTTACCACTTTCGTCACCTGCCCCTGGCGTTGGTTTCGTTTTAATTGAGTCTGCTCGACAATATCGTCCAATATATACTTCCGGAACGGGTTATTAACCATTCACGAAGAAGAGCCAATCGATCGGTACAATTTCGTTTCGCTCGCAAATCATGTCTTTCAAAAATAATGTTACCCGTTTCTTGTACCTCGGACGTTTCGCTTCGTGTACGCGACAGACTGCGCGAGTTCGTGCCTCGCAGACGAAACGTCCTTAAGAAAATACTTGAAAATGCGAAAGTCAAATGAAATTAGTCCGACCACGGAAAAGTTTCTTCGTTCGCGCTTCGTCAGGTCGTGCCCGGCATACGCTTTACGAAGAAACGTGGCGCGCCAGGTAAGTTCCTATTGGGAATGTAAGAGTAGATTTTATAAAAATATTAGCTCCTAAAGGATATGCAGCTGCCGCTGGCTCCTGCTGTAATCTAGCAAGGGGATTGACGTCGACGAGGGTGAAAGGAGAAGTTGAAAGCGGAAGAGAATGAATACCGTCGTAGTTCGTTTCGTTGACGATCGATCTTCTCGCATCAGTGACGACGCACGATTCTCTGCGAAGCTCGACGTTACCTTGAAAACACGATTTTCCATCGAACCACCCGTCGAATAAATCGCATCGATTCGACGCTTGTCGCTACGTAACAATTCGAGTCACTCCGACGAAATGAAGTTGTCGCAGGGTTACATTGGTCGTTCGTCACTTGACGTCACACTTTCTTTACGTGCGTACTCAAATGCATCATAAAATGTCTGAGCCAGAGCGTCGCGTCTTACGGAGCTTTAAAATCGATGTCAAAATGTCCAACCAAGTCTCGTCCCGTCATTCGAAGCGCTGGTAGACTACAGAGACGAAACTGTCTGGACTTACCTAGTTGACGTACGAGAGGAGACTGCTGTTCAGCTATGAAAATCGTTACAATGCTGTCTACAGGGTGGGTACATAAGACCCAACGTTGGCTTATTGGCTTCCCCGGTGAGATACGGGATATCAGGACCGAATGTACTTGGTTTATTTTTCTTTTATTTCTCATTGGGCAGCTTATCGGATTCAAAGCTTGGTTTACCAAGGGACGCGTGCTATTGGCACACGTTGCACGGCGCATGTCAATGGTCACCGTAGCCAATGGACTGCTTGAAATATTAAATGGAGCAAAGACCCGTGTACTTTAGGTCTGCTAGCTTCAGCCGTGGTTCAATCTCCGAGTTGACTAGAAGGGAGAGAGAATACACGTAGAGCGCCATCTAAAGTTTTCCAAGCGTTCCTCAATTATTTAAGAGGAGCATGCGCCGCTCCGTGGCGGTTTTCAGAATGAAAGTCTGACGGGAAAATTGGCGTGGAACAAAAATATCATTTGTCACCTTTTTTTAATCCGTTTATCAAACTCGCGGTTGATTGATTTATTGTTCTTTCTGTGTTGTGATTATTTATTGATTTTCTCACAACAATCGTTACTCGTCATTATTTTCGTCTGCTACGATTCTCCAATACTATTTCCAGTAGTATGAACACTTTGGTCATCGTTATAGTTAAAGGACGACTGCCACCGGCACAGATCATATACTTAAGACAATTTTATGTTATCGGAAGAGAAAAATGATCTCTTACATCATCCACTTATCTGCTAGTTCCAGGGTTACCATTTTCTGGCTAAAAATATTGCGCGTCAGTAGCACGTCACATATATCGAAGAGATACGGAGAATATGGAATATTGGATAGAATATGATTACCGTGTGCAGGATTCCAAGCTGGTATATTTTACAGAAGTATCGAGTACTATATGAATACACTGCTGGAATATGGTTTTCTCTGAAAATTGAGTACAAATCAAGAATTTCTATTGTCTACGGAATAAATTATAGAGAAAGGGATTTCTACGTGCGTATGGGTTATTTCCATAGAAGGAAGAAAGTTGTAAGTAGCAATTTTATACGTATGAATAAATTGTGACATGCCTTTGTTTACTAGCTACGTATTCGATTGCGTAATATTATATAAAAACACGTAACTATGCTTCAGTGCCTAAATTTGGACGGGTGGACAATTGGGAATTGGAAAAAGAAACGTGACCTGACCCATCTCAACCTGGGTTGATATTTAAAGCTTATCGAGTTACTGGAAAAAAAAAATCGATGACAATATCGAATTTAATTATCTTAATTGGAGATATTACGACTCTATATGAACCCATTTAAAATTCATCGAGTACAATGGGGTTTGGATTCTAATTAGAGTTCTAATTTGGTAGCGGTTTGCACCGCTTCATCCAACAGAACCGAAATCAAAGTTTCACTCGGCTCTCAAAATGGTAGTTCATGATCATTTAATAATAAATTAACTTTGGTATGTCATCGTGATTCGTCTCCGAGTTCATATATCAAAGGATGAATACGATGAATGTGATGAATATTATGTTGATGAAAATTCGGGTTTAAATTTTCCAATGCTAGCATAAGTTTTGACAAGTATAAACCGAAAATTCAGGATTGTACAAATTTATTCTTTTCGTTACAACGATAGAGATTTTTTCGAAGCCGTTTAATTTTTTTACGATAAATTTGCTTTTAATTTATAATGACTAAAATGCGAATTTATAAGATAGTAAATACGCAAGTATCATGTGGGTAGAAAAAAAAAATATTTTTCTCAACAAATTTCGTAGATACGTGAAATTTCTAGAGATTCGTCAACAGGCTCGCCGTTTCTCCTTTTGAATATGAAAATGGCGAGCAGGGGAAGTTTTTTAAAAGCTTTCCGAAAGTGTTTAATATCATTGCGAAGCCTTACTTACATAGTGGATGAAACTTTTTCCAACCAAAAAACTTTAAAAGAGCGAACGTGCCAAAGTAAAAAGCCTCACACGTCAGCTTGTTTATCGATCACTTCGAGAATCGTTTTGTGTTATGTGCGAGAAGGTCCGAGAGTACCGAGTGTGAGAAGTTAGAACGGCCAAGGATGGCAAGGACGTGTGTAAAACGTAGAACATGAGAAAGCATTGCTGCAATACCAAAAGAAAAGAGAAAAGAAAAGACACTGCTAAAAACATTGAACAACTGAAAACTTTCCAGGACATATATCGAGATACGTGAAAATTGGAAATTTTTCGAGTATGACGTTTCCTAGAGCGAGAGAGAGAGAGACGTTCTCGCAGGCGTTAAACTTATCTTTACACTACATGTTATACGTAACCTACTCTACTCTAGGTTTTATATCATTTTCCACGTTTTATATTATTTCTTTATTTTTCCTTTAACCCCCTATCCCCTGCACCCATACCTTTTCATTCTTTTAATTTTACCCGTCGCGCCGATAAGGCCACCGATGCATTATGCATGGCGAGTTCACGTAGTCACGGTGGCGCCACCCGATTGGTAAAAGTTAGCTTATCGGTAAAGAAAACTCAACGGATATACATAACCTCGTAAAAATTACGTTAGCTGTGTCGTACGCAGTGAAATTACAAAGCGACTTAACTCGCGCGAGTTTCAGTCAAGTTATTCGTGCTTTACATACGCGTTTGAGTTTCGTTTATGCCGACGACGTTACGGGATTTACAATGCGGCAGAACACCTTCGGTGACCTCGACCTTCTCCACTGGGATTGTGCCTGTAAGGTAATCTCACTTTAATAAAATATATCAAGACCGACCGGGTAACCTAACCTAACAATTTAACACGCAACTGCACTTCTTATTGTGTCTGAAACCGTCGTAACGACCAATTCCAAGCACAATTTTTCAACGCGATCCCCCGTGACACTACGCGCTAAGAATTCACATTGTCCAGAGTTCCCAAAGCGATTAATCGACATTCTAATCAAACACGAAGAGACAGCACGAAGCGACCGCGACAGTGGCTATCGATCCCTGCACTGTCTGCTGTATTATTGGGATAAAAAAATGCACGACCACAGAGAGCCATTTAACTTTTTGCTCGGAGAGACCGATTACCAGCGGTAAAATAGAGACGAGGCGGGAAAGAGAAGGAGGGAGCAAGACAGAGAGAAAGGCCGAGCGACGGAACAAATAGAAACTTTATATTTCTGTACGAACTGTACACAGAGATAGATTCACGGTAACGATACTATTTCTTCTTTTTTTCTTTGCTTTCTCTCTACTCTATTTTCCTATCGTTCCATTTCAGCCTCGTTCGTTACACCGAAGCAATGCCACGGACTAACCTCTGGTTTCAAGAGCTTATTAATGCACGATACTCTGCCCTTCATTAATTCAATTTCCAGTTGCTCCTTTCGCAGCTGTCAAAATACATTAATCTTTCGCTTCGTCATTTTATCCCGGTTAACAGTGACTTACCGTCTTATCACATTTTTCCTGAAATATCTCCGTCTGCTTCAGCTGGACGGGATACAGAAAGGATATACGTTAACGTTATCGTTCCTGATAAAACGGTTACAATGGGAATTGTCGTAGCTTACGTGTTTACGAATGCACGTGTAAGCTGGCCTAATGTCCAGGATACTTTCCCTCCTTGGTAATATCTGCGAACGAGTCCATTCATGAGAAACAGGTATGAATGAAAGCTTTTGAATTATAACCGGCGCTTTACGCATCGCGGAATACGCTTACGGACACCCACCTTCCTCGTTTCCTTCTGTGTGTCGTAAAAGATTTTCTCGTCGCCGTCCGCGGCGCTCGAGTACTGCCAGAGAAAAATCATAAAACGGCTTAGATGGGTAAAAGTGGGTCAAGTGTAAAGTCATACCATTAGCGCAGAGTTAAAACGAATCGTACAGTGCAAATTCGACGTGGAAAAACGATTTAAGTAAGTCGACGAATATTTGCACGTTATCGTATATGGAGATAAGAGAACTTTATAGTCGAGTTATCGAGTATCGATAAGTAATTATTATACGATTAAGGATACTCGCGAACCCCGCTGTATTTAATTGGCTTATCCTTTATCTCCTATCTATACGACGTTATCGCCGATGACGTTTCTTTTAAGGATTTTTATTCTGTTTACATCGAAACGGTGCAATTCTTTAGGTAAATTCGCATTCACGTGTCGCGTGTCCTTACCGGATATTTTTATCGCGCAGTTCGGACTACGCGAAGCAATTCCGTGTAGGTAAGAATTCCACGGAAGTGGGAATAGAATGGTACTTGGATTTTAATGATCTTAATTACGGTAATACGTGAAAATACTTACGGCTATCGAACAGGTTATTACTACGACAGCAAATAGGCATAAAAGAGTCGTTAGGATTCCGTAATAGAGATTCAAATGGAAATAGGTCCTCAGGTCGTTATCGGCAATTAAAAATCTATATAACTGAAAGCAGATAATTAATTGTATAACGTCGATAAAATATATCGAAGATATACGTCTGTATATCGGTATAATGTGTAAGATCGCATTTTACGTCATAACCTCAAAGGTACGAAACTACTCCTAGTACGTATCTCACCAGTGAGCTTATGCTGTATCCATAGGAACGGTAGTATTTGTGAATTACGATATTATCCATAATTTAATAGTTCGATCGCTACTGGAATTTAACCCGATCCGCAGCGTCACGTCAAATTCGAATTATATCCGGTAAGTTCTGAAGTGAGCCGACAGCAGTCCGGGCACTTTCGAGAATACTCGACAGGAAGTGTTCGACGGTCATCGAGCTGTCTGCCTATTGGCCGTTACACTCGAACGAGTCGCTGGTCGACAGCCGTCCAATTTAAATTTTGACATCTGTCTATTATCGTTATTAGCATCGTCAGATATCGACTATATTCACTCTGGACACCCGTTAGAGCCATGCGAGTGGCACTTGAAACTCCATCGCCCTCTATTCGCCCGGCACTCGGGACGCTGAGGCCGACAGACAGAAAAGGGTCGCGAGGAAGTAAAGATGGTTTGATCAGGCGAAGTATATGATCTTAAGGGAGCGGAAAGCGTGAAATTTGGACTCGAACCATATACGAAATGTGCGACAAACGTCTCTGCGCCTGTAGGAAAAAGGCCGCGCTGTCCAAAGTGGATCCGGGGGTGATTCAGGAACTCGAGAAAAATTTCACAAAGTTCTCATCCACGGACAGTTCGTCTCTCCTTAAGAAATATCTGACCCGAGAGCTTTTCGATAAACTGAAAACGAAAAAGACCAGCTACGGCTCGACCCTCCTCGACGTGGTACAGTCGGGTTTCGCAAATCCGGATTCCGGGGTCGGCGTCTACGCTCCGGATCCAGAATCGTACACCGTATTCGCTGAACTCTTCAATCCCATAATCGAAGACTATCACGGCGGTTTCGAGGCTGACGACGTTCATCCGCCTCTCGATTGGGGCAATCCTGATAACCTTGGGAACCTAGATCCCGATGGGAAGTACGTCCTCTCTACCAGAGTACGATGCGGAAGATCGTTGCAAGGCTATCCCTTCAATCCTACCATGACGAAGACTCATTACCAAGAAATCCAACAGAAAGTAAGCCTCCTGCGAGCTCCTCTTGACTCCCTACTTCCGTTACGATCGTTCGGGCCTGAATCGCTCGTTTTACTTGGCTGCGGCTACCGGCACGTTTCTTCAGTGAATACGCGCCCCGTAACCCTACATAAATGGGAGCTCCTGCCAGAGGCGGGAATAAACTGCCGAAAATCCACTTTCAAATAATCCATGGGATATTATCGGTCTGTCCTTACTCTGTATATATCTGTTTGTTTTAACGAGGTATAGTGGTTTAGCTCGTGGTCGGCCAATTACAGGCGGACCCTGCTACAGGTATAATTAACGTAAGCCATATGCAGAATTTACACGGGTAACGTGGCAAGGTCTGTAGTGGATTTCAGATTGTATTTTGATATTCACCTTTTTTTTTTGTACGCTTCACTCAGAGCTCCGTTAGGGTTGCTCGAAAAGAAAAATATACCCACCAAATCGCACGAGACTCTCATATATGAAATCGACACCGTAGGTTTCCGAGGCTCTTGGTGCTCTGGAAGACGATCTCCAGGGAACTTACTATCCTCTTGAAACCATGGACAAGAAGACCAAGGAGAAGCTTATCGAGGATCATTTTCTCTTCAAGGAGGGCGACCGCTTCCTGCAAGCTGCAAATGCCTGCCGTTACTGGCCATCCGGTAAAGTTTTATACCTAACATGGCATACGGTGTTTTAGAACTGTTTTACTTATGCAGGTCGGGGCATATTCCTGAATGCTGATAAGACATTTTTGGTCTGGTGCAACGAGGAGGATCATATGAGGATAATATCGATGCAAAACGGCGCCGATCTTGCTGCTGTTTACGGTCGACTTATCAGGGCCGTACGAGAGATAGAAAAAAAATTCTCATTCGCCAGACACCAACGCATCGGCTTCCTCACATTTTGTCCATCGAATCTTGGCACCACCATAAGAGCATCCGTGCACATTAAAGTGCCCAGATTGTCGGCCGACTACGATAAGTTCGAGGAAATTGCCAATATGTACAATCTTCAGATCCGAGGCATTCACGGCGAGCACAGTGCAAGCGAAAAGGGCGTTTACGACATAAGCAACAAGCGTCGACTGGGTCTTTCCGAAAATCAAGCGCTCATCGAAATGAGGGACGGGATTATGGAAATCATAAAGCAGGAGGAACGCTTGTCGCGTTGAAATTTTAGGTTAGGTTGACAATAAAGATATTTCGAAAAATAGTTTAATTTCGTCACAAACGAGGAAATAGCATGTGTGCATATTTTAACCTAGGGCGGTACTGTGTACACAGTAGATATCAGTAGTACTTACAGTTAGATGCGGATGAGCGATTATCGTACCAAGTTCCTAAGCAATTTCTCATACGTGTAAATTTGTTTTATTTTTTAAAAGGTACTACCGTACAAGTAACAAGGTACTGGACAGTCGAAAACTGAAAGATAACCGGGAAACACGGCTAATATCCTTTTCCTTGGTGGATGTCAAGATTTTTGTGTCCAAGCGAACGACCGAGTTATCAATTTGTATTATCTTTAGCAGACGAAATATCGATATAGCTTTTTCTGACTAGTAATTCTAGGGTGTTATGGGCGTGGAGTTGGTAGCAGCCATTGGTATTGTTATTACAGTTCTAACAACGAGGTTACGTAAAAGCAACCGTAGGCCACGCGAATATATTAATACGAAGAAAATATAAAAGTACTGCGTTGTATCTACCATGATTGATATGCAATTTGCATCATTTATGTATTTATTATATGCGCGCGCGTCAAGCACTACGAATGGTTCGGTATTTGCTTTAGCATTCCGGTACCGACCGATCTGAATGATTTATTGGTCCCGGGTCGTACGGGTGCAGCTAATTATCGTCGTGCGAATGAAGGTTAACGATCGTTTATTTTTATTGATGACACGCGCATGAAAAAGTTTTCGATCAGTGCGATGGCAAATATTCACATAAATCCATGGACTGATAATATCACTGTTAATCCCATCAGATGGAGAGAGACTGTCGTAAACCCGACGTTGTTCATCTTCTTGGAGTCCTCCCGTTTACCATGGACCAGGCGTTGCTGCTTCTTCTTCTTAATATAATCCGCCTCGGGATCTCTCGCTGTGAAAAACGTTGTATCAGAAAATTATTAATGGCATAATTCAAGCACCCTCGTGAACCCACGTTACGGCCAATTATTATTCATCGGTCTTGTCGCTCATGAATATCGAATCAAAGTAATGATATCCAGAGAGATAAAAAAATAAGATGAATATCAAATCTCTAAACTTCTAAGCCCAGTCTTACCGATCGAGCTTAAGGTAACCTTTACGTAAGCGAACCAACGATTATAACCCTTGCGATTGGTCAGCTCCAACGGCATAGACCAATCCGGTTTAACCTTAAAAATGTCAACAAACACTTCTTACAGATGAAACATTTGCATCTGGCTGCTCTTGCAACAGCATATGGATTTATATGCAGATACCAATGCAGCATCGTCTACTGGAGATACTCAAAATGGAGTTCTTACATTGTCATCACGCTTTTCGTTAATTCAATTTTTTATACGCTTATTTCGATCCCACGAAAGAAGTTCGAGAGGGGATAACGCGCCTGAGAGTGCTATGTAAAAAGTATTGGCAAAGTACTAGATTTTGGAAATAATCTTGTATACATTTTTATATCTATACTTACCGCACAGCCATTCATAGTCGGTACTCGGTAAAGTACCATCGGGACACACACCCGGAATCCCATCGAACTCGTAAAGGTGTCGCGGTACTTTTCGATCGATCGGACCATAATTGCAGACGAGTACTTCCACTCGATTGCCTGTCTTGTTCAGCGTCGCGCTGGTTGGCTCCAGCTCGAATTCACTCAAGTTGACGGTGTACGTCGCTCTTGCGCAACCCACGTAATTTATCGTCGCCGTTGCGAATGCTACGTACGATGAACAATTTGGACTGTTGTAATCCACCAATCTGAAAACGCGGCATAATTATTATTACTTTCTCCCTACGATAATTCCACCTGACCGTAATACAATGCACTGATCATACTGGTATTGTCAGTGGTACTGATTTCATGTATGTATATATGTTTATATATATATATATATATATATATATATATATCAAATTTCCGGTCTCAATATGGTATACACACGTATAGAATATGTATATCGCACGGACACTCTCTCATTTCGTGTTTCGAGTTTGGAGCTGCGGCTTAGGCAGGAACGCTCGGGGCAATTCGGTATAATCGATTTTCAAAGAGCGACCGAGGGAGGAAGGAGCTTTTCGATTGAAACGAACGTATCCAAGTGCCGGATAGAGGCGATTTAAATTTCCATGTAATTTAATCCGCAGCATGAATTTTCGATCTGAAATTTCCGCGAGATTTACCGGACCCGATACAATGGGAATCAAACGTACGTTGTTCGATACCATTATTAATTGTAAGGTATCAATGAAATTTTTCTTTACAGATAACCTACTCAGACTTTTTTTAATTTCCCGCTTTTTCTACAACTCGATATCGTTTACTTTAATTTTTCATACGTCAAAGTCAATTCCGTGAATTATCTATGTTTTTCATCTAGATTATCGATATTGCGAATAGACCTTTACCCGACTTCAGAACTGTCAAATTGGTCCACTTCGTCGTACCAGGATTGAATATGTGATGTAATCCGCACTAAGGGCGTACTTTCCTCCACGGCATCCAAATCGAGTACATGAACGTTCTGCCATACTTGAAAGCGTTCTGAAACGTCGTAAAAATGGTCTTACTATGGTATGTTCATGAAATTGAACTGTCCTTCAGGAAAGCTTTGATTATCCTTGGTCATAAAGTACGTTACGTTATTGGGTAGATTGTACGTAGAGACTAGTGTGCTATTGTTATTATACCGGGTATGTCAAAATGAAAATTTAACGGAACGAAACGGACAGCTGCGAAAATGCGATAAACCATATTCGAACGGTGAATCAGGAATGTTATTTATCGACGAGGAAATATAACGCTTACAATGGTAAAATGCCTTGTGTATCCGCGTGTAGGCAATTCGTATTAAAACGCGTCTAGCGTAAAATGTATGACTTGCTAAGGGCAATTCGTCTACCCATAAAATATATTGTGTTAGCCAATTGGAAATCGCGACATCTATCGGCGCGAGTATAAATTACTTGCCGACGTCTCTGCACTGATCCTTCTGGGTGGGTTCGCACTGCAGGGCCCATCGACGTGCGATTCCAGCCAGCTCGTAGTCCCAGGCCTATGAAGAGGAGAGGGGGAAATATAAAAGTTGAAAAGCCTTTTGGAATAAAGAGAAGAAAGAAATGGCGACAGATGGAAAAAAAAGGGGTCGTTTCCAAAATTGCAGCTCCGACGAAATTGCTTTTTCGATCTCGCACCCTTAAAAAAAAAAGAGCGTACCAGTTCCAGCATGTTACGAGCGGGTGGCTGTGGACCTGGATTACCACGAACTTCTACCCCTTGCGCTATACGATTTCGTAGTTCGTTATGATGCTTGAGAATCGATTCGATTTCCAGACTTTCCAGATCGTCGTTTTCTAGGTCGTTGCATTTCTGCAAGCAATTGTCGTACTGCAATTAAAAATACTTGGTTCAATTTTATGTCCCTTTTTATGGCTTCTTGTTTACTTTATGCTTCACGTGACTTTTCGATATGGTATTCCCTAAATTGGCACGGATTTGAGGTTTTTGTGGCTTTTGACACGGTAAACCTGTAGGTTTTTGCGGTTTTGGATGGTTTTGATGGTTTCTATACTATCCGGATGCAGTTGCATAATACATCGCGGGCACCCTTCGATTCTCTTTGCGCTTTTCGTTCTACTAGTTCCCGATAAAATCTACCTTATCGATAATTTCGTTAACGAAATCGCTGCGAGTCACGCGATATCCTTCGAAACTGAATTCGCCAGTATATATTTTTTTGTATTCCTACCACAGTCCCTCGTTTCCCTCATACTTTTCTTCCTAATTCCCATCTTTCATCATGTCGCACATAACGTACCTGATATAAGCACATGACGTGATCTGGACAAATCCGACAATAATAAGCCTTGTCATCGTTCCCGTGCACAAAAGTTAAATCGCGCGATCTGCACAACCCCGCCACAAGGATGGCAATATAAAACGACCAAACTTTGCGCATTTCGTTAATGCCAGTCAAAGACGTCCTTTCCCTTTTTTTTCCTTCCCTCCTGACTTTCCTCACAGAAATACGTAGAGTTACTGACGAATCAAGTCGCCACTCTTTTGTCACTGATTAGTCATTCGATTTCTTTGACTCTCGACTACGTTCAGAGTGTACACTCTGTTCAATGAATTATTCGAACTACGCCATACTAGGCACAGTATCGTGAACCTCACGGACAGGCTGCTTCTTTATTATTAACGATTAAACGGCAAAAACTTTCGTAACCGTTACTTTTCACCCCCAACGGCTTTCAGACCCGTTTGATTCGATTGTTCCCCAGCTGGATGTGTATAATGAATGAGAAGAAAAAGTTCCTTTGGTGAAGTTCATTTTTTAAACGTTCTTGCCGTCCATACTTTTCGGATAAAGTTCGCTCTCTTAATTTTTGGCCTATGGCCAGTTAGGATTTTAGAACTCATTAAATTCTTACGTGAATATTGGAACGTAGACAGGTGAAAGATTCTCAAGTTATTCAACGAGGTACGAAGAAGGAAAAGATTTTATTTCAAATATAATACACTCGAAGACTCTTTTAATTCAACATAATAATAATGTAACTGAAAAGAAAAAATTATTTTTACCAGTGCGATACACAGTTTTTTCTCTTCCATGCATTAGTATCGATTGCTTTTTATCAGATAAAATAATCTGTTATCTTTAGTCACTCGTTTCAGTGCACAAATTGTATTAATGTTACTGTACAATTATTTAATTACAAATCAAGACTGACGTCTCTGTTAAATTATTCGAATATAAAATAATATTACGTACATCCACATAATTTTAATCGATCGAATTTCAGTGTTACACGTATACGAATATAATTGAAACTGAGGTTTTACGTTGACTCGGAATTTTTTGTACATCAGGTAATTCGCGAATTAACTAAAGTACACATTGTAGTCACGATCAAGTATAAATTAAACGACGATATACGTTTTAATATATTTTCACTGTGGTAAATCGTTCTATATAATTCTTTCGATATACTCATCCAGTCTGTTATAAATTGCATATGATACGTCATACATATTGCGCAATGTCACTGAGAATGCAGGAAATTCGTTATGGCTGTATTGCCCAGGAACGTCAAGAGGCCAAAGAAGTTAGGTACGTCCTATTTTTCATACGTCCTGGGTTTTATAGTCCAATTTAGTCCCTCGATATTATATGTACGAAATCCAGTGACAAATATTACCAAAATAACCTTGACTACTCGCGTCATAAATCACAATATAATCCTTGCTCTATCACGCAGCGTTGAAACTTCGAAATATTGATATTCCCTTTTGCGAATGGATTTCTCGTTTCGCGGCAGCGAAATGGATACGGGACATTGCCTCTTGTATATAACCAATGTCCGTGCCTTGGTAAAAGTTGAAATTCAAATTTTCTTTCAGCTTTTACAAATTTGTTGAAAGTGAATATTCTTTATGGGCTGTCCGGTCCGTTTTCCTTCCATGCTAATATCGTATTCATATCTTTGATGCCACGAGTGCTCCACGGTTCCAAAGGATCAGTGGGCGAATTCGGTGGGGAGGCAACTTTTTTCCCGTAATCTGATTCTCTTCTCTTTGAAGAGTCAAACATCTCTTTCGGAGATACCCTGAAAGAGTGACGTCAAAGATTAGACCACGCTGAATAAGTCGGCGCGATAACCTCTTTACCTGTTTTTTGCCGTTTTGGCCCGTCGCTTACGATGACTCTTGGCGCCGTTAGAATTTTCCGTCCTGGTCGACTCGTTAGTCTCGGCAGATCCGACGGAAGCCACATTGACCGTTTCGTCCGGTTCGTTTTTAAGAATTCGATAACCGGAAACGGTATCTACCGAAGGAGAGGAAGACGAGCTACCGTCGTCTCGGCGAAATTGCCTTTTTTCCAAAACGTATCTACTGTTCGCTGATCTAATCCTCCGTAATCTTGCCTCAGCTCCCAACAAAGAGTCATCTGAAATTGATTTCCCTTGAGACCATTCTAAATACAATCTCACTTACGTAACGATTCTTACTGCAAACGTCATTGTCACTAGACTCGAGCAGAAGCTCCTTCTTATGCACGGTAGCCAACCTATTAGACGTAAGTATCTTCGTAATTGAAAAACGTTCTAGAAGCTGCACATTGACCGCGCTCTTCAGCGGGAACTCGCTGAGGTCACGCGCTGACCCGGCCATCTTCAGTAAAGCCTGTTGATCGCAGCTGGAGTTTTCCGAGGCTATCACAAGCTCAAGCAAAGGATCGGCTCCCTCCGTCTCCGCGCTTGTACTCGGTATCTCGATTTCAGCTTTATCCAGACACCTCGCGCCGAATATATTTCCTGCCACTGAATAACATGAGAAAATAATCATCCACGACTCCGTACATAACAATTCCATTGCCGTCGATTATTTTGTAAAGCTGACTTGACTGCCAGGGCATGACTCACTCACCTTCACGAGCTTTCGTATTGACAGCTTCAGGATCGATAGACTCGAGCGTTTTCTTATCGCCGAATTCATGGACGATATCAGCCGTACTTCGTCCGTGTGATTGAGCTTGCGGTTGGGGCGCAGATTGAGATAGCGGTTGAACCGGCCTCTGTACCGCGAGTCCAGCTTGTCCTTGATTACTCGGCCGAACCTTCCCTTGAACATTCGCTACCTTAGACGTTTGATTACTCGTAGTTGGTATCCCTTGGGTGGCCGTACTCAGGTCGAGATCGTGTGCAAGCGCCATTACGTCCAGTGCAGCCGTCAAAGCGTCACCGAAGCCTCCGGTAACCGTCGAACCGGCTGCGTCTGGTTCTCCGATATTGGGACTAGGACAAAAACTCGACTTCGTCAACTGGCTATGGCTCGGAATAGACATAATACTCGATCGAATATTGATATTACCTTGCTGGCACTCTAACGGGTGTTGAGAATGATGCACGACCCCACATAATACATCGTAACTCCTCGCCGGTCATTCCGCGTTTCCTTAGCTCGTTTATCGTCACCTTTCCCACGCGCTATAAATACATTACCACCATTCATACAGTCAAGTCGTTGATACTAAGGGCCCTTAGATTATGTCCTAACGAAACAATATCACGTCCTTGTCTGCCTCAGGCTTACCGTTAATCATACAGTTCAAGGATATTCAATGTATGATTTAGTCACACCTTACGACCCGATACAGTCCCTAAACTCTATGTCCAACATAGGTAAACATTTAAGTAACACGTTGAACATACATATACTAAGCATGAACTTATTGACACGGTACACATCAAAATCCCAATTCCCATATACTCGTATATGGTTAAAAAAAAATTTCTTCGATTAACCATCTAGTCGTGATAACGAATTATTATAATTAATCGTTAATTAATTTTTGACCGAATAGACGCAGAGTACGTTTACACGTTATTAAAATGGTACGTTATTTCCAGTATAGATGGACAGAATTCCCACACCTTCCAATTAGACACAGCGCCCTTTCGTTGTTTGGCTCTTGTTTTTGATTTACTCTTGATGACCATCACGCCGCGCTGCTCCGAGGCTGGATTATTCGGGTCGTCTCCCGGACCCAGTTTGATACTGTACTCTTGTAGATAATTGTGAGCATCCTTCTGCGAAACGGCGCGTTCCAATGAAACGACGATCTTGGCCCACTGAAACACGATAATAGCGATTATCGGAAAAACTACGCATACGGAAGGATGATTACGGATTGAAAGGTAATAACGAATGAGGAGAAAAAAAAAGAAGAAATTAAGTCCTTGATTTCTAGAACGTTTTTCAACGATGCTCGTACGATCCATGATATTTTCACATATTTCACGGATCGCGATCCCTGCAATTTTTTCAACCGTTAACGCTTTACTTCCGCAGGATTTACCAGCCGGGATTGTTTGTGCTATTCGACACATTCCCGTACACTGGGAACACAGGTACGGAACGCGCGCTGTACATTACGTATACGTAATACACGAATGCGCGCGTACAGACTCCCGAGAGTACAGAAACCTTTTGTATCGTAGTAAATCAATAAATTATTTTCGCTACAATTCTGTTTACCGTGACCATTGGTTAGCGTGATTCGAATGACTCCGTAAACATTGACCCGCTGGAGGCTAACGATAACTGTTATATAATAATTATATAAATACAGGGTGCACCATGTATTTAAAATAAGCATTGATCCCTGATGACTATCGCGTAAACGTCTACTATGTCGAAATACCTTACCTTAAGTCATTACCTTTTGGTATAAAGCTGCGACATTTAAACAGCAGTGACAATATACATATATATATATATATAATTGTAATTCCTTACAAGCCAAATCCTCTGTAATACAGTGGAAAAGCATCGGTTAATCACACTCCAAGGAATTACGTAACTGGACAAAAAAGCAAACAATGACAAAGTTTCCAAGCATTTCCTAGTTACAGTACCGATACTTCTTAAGCAAACGTAAATAGCGTCACGTCACTCAATTATAATTAAATGAATTTGCATCCAACCTGCTTCATCCATTCCTTTTCACTTTGCTCGATTACATGAGCGTACGTGTTACCCATCATGGCTATCAACATGTTGAGCAGCAATATAGGCACGAGTACCATGAAGATGGCGAAGACTGCTTTACTCAGGTTGGGATAGGTCGTGTGGCTCAGGTCGGTATACTGAAAAAAAAAATACTGGCAATCGCTCACTTGGTGTGTGAAAATTAATAAGAATGCGAATAATAATAATAATAATAATAATAATAATAATAATAATAATAATAATAATAATAATAATAATAATAATAATAATAATAATAATGACTAAACTCGGAAACGAGTAATTGAATTATTCGAGTATCCTCAAGTAGGATTTATATAGTCGAGTACCGAAAGAAAAAGAGACTCGGAAGTTAATCATGCCTAGACCGGAAGTGCGGATAATACCAATAAAACTAAGTACCCACGTCGTTATTAACAGCGTTACTGCTCCTCTTTATGCTTTTTTTAATGAGCTATGAAGCAGCATCGCTTGGGGGACAAATGCAATTTTACTGGAATTGAGGTAGGTCGTGCAAACCAGAAACGAGTTCATATACGGTTAAAAGACAGTAAAAAATATATATATATATCGCAACGAGCCTGTAATATCCGTGATATATATATACATATATATCGTGTCAACGGTATCACAGAAAAGCATATATATAATGGTATTATTAGTGTGAAAATATAATTTTCTTATCTCAACGTCGACAAATGATATTGAATTACGATCGAAGCTCTCGTCTGTATTTACACGGAGACATTATCATCGACACCTAACAGGGACTGATAATACCAAAAGGATCAATGCACTCTGCTAACGATATTCGAATATCTCTCGCCTGGCATCGATTGTACATTTGCATATAATAGGAACGTACGGGACGCTACCAAAATCACAATACGCGTGTATGGAAAGTTTATGATTATATTTCACGAAGCTTACATTGTAATCGCCAAGGGTGATTTGCAGCAAGGCCATCCAGGTGGAGGGATACGAACTGTATAGAGATGATTTGACCCCTGGAAATCCTTTGTAGAGGAAATAAAAGGACTGTGAGAATCCAAAGAGTACGACCATGTAGATGATACCAAAGGTCAGCATATCTCCGGTTATCATGCTGTAAACCATTGTGACGAACGGACCAGTCAGACGTACTGCACTGTGGAGATAAAGGTTTCTCATTATTATTCTCGATATCGACAATCATTAAGCCTGCATTCGAGCTAATCGATAGTCGAAGCTCTGTTGGTTTGAAAAGTGGTATAGAAATGTATATACGTATATACATGTATATTGGTATATTATGCATTGTAACGAGTTCGCACGTGGTTGATAGATAAGATTGAAGCTATATATAAATTGGAATAAGGTTACGGAAACGTAGAAATTTTATATCGATTCGGGTAATCAGCATTCAGAATAAAAGGTCGAAGCAAGGAATAGTGGTATACCGTGTGAATATACAGTAATAGGAAATATGGCAAATTCGTATTATACAGATGAATGGTATAATACGGGTGGTGAATATTATTCAGGTATGGAGTGTCATACGTCACAACCCCGAGTCTACGTAATACATCGTGGCCGCCTGGTGAGATACGTAAAAATCCGACAGGAGCTCTGGGCGAAATGTAATTCCTTGGATTTTCCAGAGACATTGAAATTCTCGTAAGTGCTCAGGCCCTAGTTCCGCTTATATGCATATACAGTTATACGTGAGAATAAGTTCGTGCATGCGTATACGTTGAAAACGCGTGAAATAAACGAGAGCGTTACCTCTTCGTTAAGTGCGCTCGATTTACCGCGAATTAACGGAAATGAGTGGTGAAGAGGCATCACACGTTTGACACGTTGTTATAGGCCTCTAAACATATACTCTATGATATGCGTTTACGTTTATATGCACACAGAGTTATTCAGTAGAAACGCTCGACCTGAAGTTAGCGCGAGTTTGAGTCTCATGATAAACCCACGTTCAAGTGGTGCGTTTAGGCTGAATAACCTCTGGTATATGTATTCCGTGTATTTTATGAAAAATATATATATTCCATTTACTCGATTAAAGGTACATATAAGCGCCGATGTAGAGGTTAGTAGCGTCGTATATCCCTGGTCGATCTGTACCATAGAATTTAGCATAATAAGACCAAAAGGTAGACCAGACTATAAGATGGGAAGTTTGATAGAGGGAAACGCGATATTCGTCCTATCCACGTCGAGTTTACTGGCTAGGAATAAATTTTCCATGCACCAGTGTGAATTGTGCTGCATTGAAAATTTCAAAGTTTTCGGCTAGGGACTTTTCAACGGGAACGTTACGACAGTTACTAGTTATACTGCAATCTGCCAAAGTTCCTTCCTTCTTTGTCCGGAGCCATGTAGATCTACCGGCTGGTTTACTCGGTTATCGGTTGGTAGGGAAGTCACGCGTGTCACGTTGGTCACGTATGTCGCCTGAGTCACCCGCACGTACCGGACACTCGTATGCAGGTATGTAAGCGAGAGTACACGCTGTGGATGAACTCTTCGGATTGTCTGTTGATGTTAGGAACTATCGGCGGACAGCTATAGGTATACGCCGCGTGTAGCTCCGTGTCAAAAATTCTAGTGACAATAATATATTCGGTGGTAAATTGACTCACCCTGCGAAAAACATCAGCAAGAACCAAGAGCCAGGTACGGCTACTACGAGAATGGCATCCTCCGCGTGACGATCACCAGCCATTCTACATGGGATACACGCGAGTATAAGGATGTTACTGATCAGGAAGATGAACTTTGCTGGCTCGTGACTCTGAAAGGTAATACAATTGGCTCGTTATGTCATCTGCTTGCGATACCTTTCGACGCTGTGTTTTCATTCGATGAATATGAACGAAGAACGTGTCGACGAACTCGTTGCTCTACTTTTAAATTTTTAAGCACGTGTTACGTGAGTCATGGAGTTTTCAAATAGACATTATTTCGCACCAGTAATGCTATTTCAGGACGGCTGTTAATTAATTTAAATATAAATAGAGCGTCAACCCTTTTTTTTTAAATAAATAATTAAGACTCTCGTTAGTACAATTTTGCCCTTACTAATTTTTCTACTCCGCGAAACTAATTACCTCGGTGTACCCACGAAATTTAATTGTCAGCCGCTTGAGCATCGTTGAAATTCATAAGATCGTTCTCTTTCAAGGATTCAAGAAAATCCATTCCTAAGGGACGTTGCGAAACAGCTGCGTAACTTCAATTTATACGCGTTACCCCTCGTTTTATGTTTTTTATTTCTTGTCCTTAACAAATACACGAAAAACACAGTTTGCCCTTCGCTATTCATTCGCGTGTAACGTTTTAATCTGAATTCTCACGGTATCCTCGATATTGATTGATTTTATAGTCAATGATATACCTTAAGATATTTACTATACCGTAACCGTAGATAGCTGAGACCATTAAGAATGTTATCGTTGACTATCATTAAACTCGAGGGCATTAAGGAGCCTTTTAATTGCTCCTTGGCTCAAGGTGAGTGTCGGTTCAAAAAGAACGATCGATACCGATCGATATCTGTCGCTAATGTCGCCTTTGAGAAATTCACTGTGACCGAAGGAAATTTATGCATAAGGAGAAAAAAAAGTTATTTTTGTACCAGTTGCTTGAGAAAGGAAAGAAGGCCGATGTTGACTACTTCACCACCAAGCTGGAGCAGGATGTAACTTAGTACACCAAGAACGGTGATGCATTCGGCAATGGTTCTTGCAATTTCCGTTATTTCTTCGGGCCACTTTAAAAGTTCACTGTCCATTTCACCGGGTCTCAAGTAAACAGCCAGCGACAGGGAAATCAAGTGAAAGACGAGGATGACGAGTCTCTTGAGGAACTGAAGCTGTAACGTATTAGAGAATCATTGAAGATATAAATAATAAGACGGATGAGACTTCGTGCGAACGTAAAGGTGGATAATTTAGGTATAAAAATTATACGAGAGAAACGCCACCTACTCGTGCAAAAGTTTTCCACTTCTCTTCCAGCAATCGCTGAATTATGCCGCCATCTAGCATGTCCAGATGCTCCTCCTTGGTGCCGTTTAGGATTATGAACAGCGCCGAGTTCCAGTCTGCCGGTAAGATTTAAAACGCACAAAAGGTCACGAGATCGATTCACGAGATGGCGGTCGGGTGCGCCGTGGGCCGAGGGACGGAGCGGGGTGGGAAATCTGAGATCAACGTTTGTGGTAAGGAAAACGTAAAGGGAAGTGAAAAAGGTCGTTCCTTTTGTATCACGTATATAAATGCAGCTGCTTTGAGGTTTGGCTTTCTCGTCGTTTGGAAAGATCGATTAAAGCTCCTTGCACGCGGAGATTAAATTTGGCTTAAGTGCTCCGACGAAGGGTACCTTAAAGTAATTAATCCTTAGTCATCCATCAGTTAGAGCTAAGCTACGATTACGACAGTTTAAGTTGGGGGTTACGCGTATTCGATGCTACGTCGAAGTTCGGTTTGACTTTGGATCCTTAAACCTGATTGGTAGTGTTTGGCAGTTTGATTTTCATTGGAATTTTATATACGCCTCGTGCCTTTATCTCGGTTCACAGTGAACGTAAAATTTTGAGGTTAATCAGTGCCGGTGAATATATAAGTAGTAAAGGCTTGTGTATTACGTTTTTCTATCTCAATGGATTATCTTTTTAGGGATACCTAGATGGGATTAAGGGATGAATTCGAAGTCAAGTCTGGAGTTAATCTCGTCTTAAAATGCCACACTGATCTGCCTTCCTGGCTTCGGATCCTTTCAAGACACGACCCTGATCTCAGAAGATGACACTATACCGGGTGACTTTAGAATCCTTAAATTTTCTTAACCCCCACATTTTATCCCCCTCGACTCAAGGACTGCTCGGTATACGTGAATCCTAAAGCATTGCCCGAATCGAGTTCGCCTCGCTGAACAGCAGATGCGGGTTCACTTGCGAACCATTGGCCTAATGAAATCCGGTTGTCAAAAAGTTTTCCGAGTCTCCCGTATTCTTTCGCCTCAAGAGCCTCGTGATCGAAATAAAACTTGGCAAGAGGTATTTGCAGACTAACAATGATTCGTGTATATACGAAAAAGGGAGGAGAACACTTTTGAAATAAATGTACGGAAGGAGGATTTAGTGAAAATTAAAAAAAAACAAAAGATAACGTCGAAAGAAAGGGGAGCCTGCAGTAAACGGTAACCTAACCCCTCAAGAGTAAGTGGATGGAACGTTCGAGCGCAGCGAGGATCCCGGAACGTAATGAAAGTCGTCTGTCGAGGAGTGACGTTGAAAGTCCTTAAGATCCTCGCCCGAAGAAGACTAACGCAACGGGACGCAATAGCGTCGCTTATTGGCAAAGACAATGGATAGCAAGATTTAAAGATAAATTGAAGCGAAAAGTGACGTCACCACGAAACTCTATAAAGCAGCTCGAATCATACGGCATTGCAAAGGCAAAGGCGTGCAGTTTTAAAATAACCTAAATTTTTCGCTCAACCATACGAGACGCCGACGCACCCGTGCCGGAATTTGACGGCAAGACCGAAAAAAGACGAATAATCGAATTAGTCGTTTGACGTACTCGTTCTACCATCGGGTAACAGCGTGTCGAGTGCATTAAGTGGATACGCCGAGCAAGTGATATTACTATATCGCCAAAACTCTCGAGCAGATAGCTCGAGCATTTCTCGAAAGACTTCAGCACGTCCCAGCTGGCAGGCGAGAGTCAGCGGAGTGAACCCAGCAGAGTTCGCGATGCCATTCCGGGCCGGAAGTTTTGGATGACGCAGAGCGTAACCGAACATGTCCTGCGCAAGAGAAATTCAATTTCATCGTGAAGCCACGCTCGCTGTGAACCCTGAGATTCTAATACGAGTTTCACCTACCAGTTTGTCGCAGACGACGACCATGTGCAGAATCATGTTCCCGAAAGAGTCCTGTTCGTCGGGATGAGCGCCTGAATCAAGTAGGAGGTTATAGACGCTCTCGTTGGCGCAGCAGGCTGCCCAGGCAAGCGGGTACTCCCCTAGATAGGCAAGACCTTCGTAATCTGTGTTACGAGCCGGACGTAGTCGCTGCTGATCCCTCGGCAGAAAGAAGCTTCCTGTTGCTCTCTGGGACACTATAGCTCCAGCCTCGACCAGGTCCTGGACCAGTTCGTTATTGTTATAGGCTATAGCCAGGTGCAGCGCGCTGGCTCCGAGGTACTCTTCACCCTCCACCACGTCGATGGCCAGCCTTGGAAAGCACTTGAGCAACGTACGCGCTATCCGCGTATGGATCCGTGTATCGCATATTATCAGTACGTGTAACAGGGTCTCCCCGAGTGAGCCCCGATACTGCATCTGCCAGCAAGCCTCGTGATCGCTCCACTGAGCCAGAGGATCGAAACGCGATAGCGATGCTTCTATCGGTAACACGACCTGCTCCAGGTCCCGGAATTTCCATCGCAAATACTCCGCCCTGTTAATGATCTGACCCTTACCGTCGGCATACATCAGAATGCCAAACTGCTCGCGAATAACCTTCTCCACCTCGGCCTGCCCACCGGCATTATACGATTCGACGAGCTCTCCTCCTTTCTTGTAATTAGCCAATCGATAGAGTAAACACTGATCCTCGTTGCTCGCCTGACTGATCACCCGATCCAGGATGGAGCCAGCATTGACCTGGCTACCTCGACCTCGACAGGAGCATATACCACCCATTCAGACATCTCCTTCTGGCTCTTCCCGTGCCCCGAAGCCCCCTGGATTATCGTCCATTCACGTAGAACTCAGGCACTCCGGTCCGCCCGAACCCCTCGGAATCGTCGACGACATACGGTTCGTAATTTCTCATCTATGATCGGCACTCTTCTTCCTCGAGACGCTACCTGCCTACTTCACTTGGCTACTCCAGATTGCTTTAGACTGCTGGCAGGTGGAACGATTTGTGCTATAGCAACGCGGGACTTGCGCAATCTATAAACAGTACCTGGTGCCAGCAGACACCATAGGGTCACTGGGGTGATAGCGATATCGCCTTATCGGCCCTATGTAGCTCCCCTCAATTTTCGTCAAGGAACCTTCGACCACTTTGCTCATTTTTCTCGGTATTTTCTTATCCTTAATTACCCGATACAGTCAAATTATTCTTTTTGACTTTTTCATTCGGAGCAAGGACGCCTGGCTCTCTATGCCTCGTAGGTGCAAGGTCTGACCGGCTGGTCTGGCTTACTTGTATCTAGATACACCGTACTCCGCGCCTCGAACCTCTAGCTCGGCCTTGAATTCATATTTGGGTCAAGCTTTGGTTCCAACGGAATTCTTTATAAAAAGAAGAATGCTAATCGAGCCGCGCGGAAGGCAAATCAAAGCGCAAATCGTTATGACCCTTTGTTTCGGACCGCTGATCTTACGTAATACAGGTAATCGACTGTTCCAATTTTCGTATTTCAATACCGTTACGCGAAGCGGATGATCGATCGTAACCGTATTAACGTGGTAACTTTTAATCGCGTTAACGTGCTAACCCATTTAGCTACATTTCCGCAAGGAACGTACGAGCCGCATTCGACGGCTCAGCCCAAAAGGCAATAAACAAAAGCTTCATTGAGTTATTGCCGAACTCACGGCTATGATATTTTCGGATGGAAAATAATAATTTTTTACTTCTCTGCTGCCTCGGAAGAAACTTAAAAGATACGAGTAAAGCCATGTCCTAAATTTCGATAGGAACGTTACGGGTGTCAAATCTGCTAATTCTGATTGAACAGTTGAGAAAAAATATTGACTGCAAAGAGTTGTGAGAAGTAAAAATATTTTTTATTTTCAACAATTGTACTTTTCCCTAAAAGCAACGTATTTATTTGATTTGCGTTATATTCGGCATTCAATCTTGAAAAATATACACGGGACACTTGTGTACCCGCGCAATGGTATCGACGTGACATTAATTGTATGAAAAAGTAAGAGACAGAGATACTTCTTACGAAATTGCTTTTCTCAAAAGTTTGATATCGCCAAAAATTCTGAATCATCGCTTATCGGACGGACGTTTTGGCGACGTTTACGGAAAATGAAAAAAAAAAATAGTACAAAAATTATGATTTTATACAGATCCAATCGTGACGTCAGCATAGCTGATAAATTTCTATAGAATTCACTGGAATACGATTCGTAAGCAGATAACGAGGCGTTATTCATATGTACATCATCGTATGGCTGCTAATTGGACACAAAGATAAAGTGACGTTTGTACTCATGCATACGGATGTTACCATTCTGTCACGCCAGCTACGGCAGAATTACACGTGATATGTGTTTTCATAAACATGTTCATGTTTTCACGAACGTATCCTATGACTAATAGTCAGGTAGCGAAGCACCTTTTTTTCATAGAGATTTTTAGCAGGGTAGAGCTCTGGCTGGTTTGACGTAGGTCCCCGCATCGAATATTATAGATGAGGGTCAACTGTGGCATAAATAATTACAATGATAACAGGTATCGAACGCGCGTGACACTGAGTGCGGGTTGGTCGTTTTTTACAAAGCGATATATTATACATATAAGTTATAATTATTTCGCACGAGGAACAAATAAACATAATAATTTATGAATGAACTTTTTCCTCGTTAAATCGTACAAAAATCTGGATCCTAATAGGTTTTGGGAGCCCGGTCTCAGGTTTGATAAATTTTTAATGGGCACCCGGTAGATAAGTTTCGAAGAACGTTTCGTACGTGATGTACGAAATAAGACGAAGAAACAAGGGGAATAGGAGGAAAAGAATATAAGAGGAGAGACTGAAGTTTACTTGGATTACTGGCCTTCTTTTCTCGAGGAAGTTCCCTCGGAAAAAAGTTTTTCACGAATAACTGCTCGGCTGCTATCGAAAATCCCTGAAACCTGCCCTTAATCCGCATTGGATTTCTCGACTACACTCCTTTCATGAAAATGATACTTGAACCTTGATATCGCAACGATTATATAAATATGATCGTTATTCTCTCATGCTTGGCATGATTCCATGTTCTATTATTGTTTCACCTATTTCACGGGGTTCAGTGAACTTGTATTCGTACTGTACAATTATTATCGACGTCATTACTTGAATAATACAGAATTATTCGATATAGGATCTACGTACTGAAGTTGGCTCTGTCGTAGAAAGCAAATAGAGAAGCTAACTTCAGTTGATACGTTTACCTGAAATTACTCTGTATGTACCACATGTATCAGGTAACCAGGGATAAAATGTACAATTTCGAAATCAATATGTAACGTATGGAATATCTATATATACGTAAACACAGTCATTCAGAAATATTTGACCAGCCACGGTTGATTGTGTTCATACGATGACCGAACAGCCGTCCATGTACGATCGACTTAGAATAATTGAAGAAAATTTTTAGCGTATAAGCATCGTAATAATACGCGTCATTTGAAATAATTCGAATGGCAATAGTCGTGCGAGAAGTAATTTAGCATGTCTGTAATTACCGTTGAACCATTTGGTAAGACGTATGTATATGAATAAGAGAATATGCCATTTGGTTCTAGAATGTACGACAGAAAGAAACGAATGTTAAGAATTAGTGAAATATTCCAGCTGATATGTACACATCGCTGAGTCAGTATCTGCATTGTATGTTTAACTTCTTTTCCTCTCTTCTTTTCCCTTCCAATATAATAAGGCGATGTGTAATGTTAATATTGAAATATCGAATACCTCATCTAGAACATTCGAACGTATTATGCCTTGTATTACGCATTCGATTTATTTGAAATACTGGTTTCGACTTTTTTCAGAAGGTTTTCATATTCCTTTTGTACCACCTGACTATTCACAGCTTATTCATACGTCGAAAGGTCACGGAAACGACGAGTGTTGAATGAAATCGGATATAAATGTGCGAAATTTTTTTTTCCCGTTCATCGGTCAAATATGTGTTTTAGTTTTCATATGTAGATACGTGAGATACCTCGATCAAACAGTTAAAAATGCATCGGTGCATGTGCAACGTGATTGCTAAAAAATTCATAAAAATCTTAATGTTAGCTTGCTATTTTTTTTTCGTGGAAACGTCACTGAAGCAAACCAAATTTTTTCACTGATAAAAATCAATTGTTTTCAACGATCTTACATTGTTTAGCGCATAGAATTTCGCATTGTTAGCGTATTTATCAATAGCCCTTTGATGCGCGTTTCTACGAATGTCTTTCGTCGATTTTAAAATTCCCGGGAAAAGAAATGTCGATTATTATTTCCTAGTACCAGAGGATTTCGCGTTCACTTCATGGACTGTGGTGCCGATGGAAATGAATGGAAGAAAAAAACATGATGATTCCCAGAAAGCACGAATAAAGGCGGCATTCGCAAGATGCCGTTAGAAAATGTTACGTTCTGGTTATAGACATCTCAAAGAGGTCTTAGGTCAAAAAGTACTTTCCTGCTTGGTTCTTAATAATTTAAAATATATTATAAGATTGACGCGATCTTGCAAATCGTGAATTAATGGCCAAATGAATAGTTTTCATGCACAGTAGTCGATTCTCTGTCGCGCGAAATATCATACATGCATATGTATATATGTATGTATCTACCTTATGGCAGGAAGAACAACAAAGACTCGATTAGCACCCTCATTGAATTGCCACAACGTAATTTTTGGCAGGATGTAATATCAGAGGCTAATAACGCTGTGGTTGATGGAATTGCCGAGTACTTGTCAAAAGTTTCTCGAAGTTTCCTTGAGGCATGAATTATTTTGCTATTTCATATAAATCATGCTAACCTAAATATACTAATCGTATGTACGTTGCTCTCATAAACACTGTTTTCCAGCATCAATGTGTAATGTCATTAGCACTTCCTTTCTTTCTCAGTATAATGTATTTACCTTTTTTTCTCTGATGTATGTACAAAGCTTTTATGATGTAACGATTGCCATCAACAATAAGTGATGTTTATCGTGTAGCATGCATTACACGTCATCCATCTCTGTATCGAAGTTACCCAATATAGACGGTTATAAAATGCAATCGTAACGTTTCGACGATCAGTAGAACGCGATAGAATCTTTCTCAGCCTTGGTCCATCATTGTTTATGTATTGATTCAAAGTGATTGACAATTTCAGGTAATAGTTCGGTACTCTCTCTCTCTCTCTCTCTCTCTCTCTCTCTCTCTCTCTCTCAGATACACGTGATATCAATGCGGGATATTTTTGTCATTGAAGCACCGTCAAGAACTTATTACTCCGTTGAATCAGCTTCCTTTTTGACTCGTCCACTACTGAAGTGGCGAGCAGTAGAACTTTCTGGAAGTTCCAGAGCATATCAAGCAACGTTTTTAATGAGATAATTGAACGCAACTTAAGGATGAATCGCCACTTACAAAAATAAATCGTACCGTTCGTAATGATTCGTCTGGGTATTATCGCAATGTAGAACGTTGTGAAAGCACCCTTATCGTGACTCATGCTGTAGGATGTATCAGTGAACCAGTCAGACAGCCTTCAAATCAGGGTAAGCTACGTACGTTCTCGGTACAATCACGTCGGTAAACCAGAAAGCTCAATGATCAAGAAAATGCGTAACGACTGAGCTGTTAAAAAAGGTAAGGTCGAATATTTCAGAACGTGCCAGAATGTCCTGTCGGTTTCGTTCATTCTTCGTCGTTGAAGAAGTCATCGAAACGAATCGAAGCGCAACGTATTACATACGTGGCAGCTAAACAGACTCCATATATAACATACGTACCTAGTTGTCATCCGATATTTGTATGCGACATCAGTTAGTTACTGGGGACAGTGCAAGCGTGAGTGTGAACGCGCGTGACGTAGCAGAATGGTGAGTTCTGATTGGTTGGGAGCCGGCCGGCCAATCATATACATATATCGCCCGAGGCAACTTCAGCTGCAGAGCATTACCGTGTTTTCAGTGAGCCAGTTCAGTGAGTGACCTTGATCGACGTTCGTGCTTCCTTTGCGTTATTCGATCCTTAGTACGAAACAAGTCTTTGCAAAAGTAAGCAGCAACGATGAAGGGCGTTTTCCGCGTTTTCTTATTCGCGGCTGTCTTGGTTGCGATTGCGCACTCCTATCCAGGTATGTACATTTCAAATTGTACGTTACTACGCGTGCGTTTACATTTTGTTATTTGACAAGTTACGGATATCTTTTAGCTGAGTTTTCAGTGATTTCTCTTCTTAAACACTCATTGATCATTCGACACGCCAATCAAGTTCCTCGTATCGGTCTCGCGCTGTCATTTTTTCGTTGACAGATTCCATCTTTTTACTTTACTAGGTTTATTCGAATCCGTAGTACTTCGGACAGATAGACCGTTCTACCTGCCGAAATGGCTGATGGGAAATTTCGAATTGGAATCCCTGCAAAGAAAATTGAGGGCAGATCCTTTTGTTATCGTACTGCGGTGGCCATTTTATCTTTCATATTTATTACCGGCAGCATTTAAGTCGTTAAGTTCCCTCGGATATTGTTTAGCCTGCGGCGCACGAACGAGTTCACAACCGAAGGGCCGTCAGTAGAAATGGTCGAAACCTTTCTGAACATATCTCAATCCCTTTTTAAGATATCTGACGCGTTGGCAATTCCGAAGGTTCGAGAATACCCGAACGCGACCACCATTCTTATTGGATTATCAGAGTGCCGTATAAAATTTACTTCAAAAAAATGAAATGCAGGTCAGAAACATGTTATACAAACCGTTAGTCACGTTCTAAGATATTACATTTTCTCTATCTCTTATCCCACTTCGTTGTGTTCAATAAAAATTTACATGATTAGCAAGAACTCGTGGAGTACCGTAAATTCTGTCTTTATCGAAACCACAGTTATATTTGACCGCCGACAACCGGATTCAAACAATACAATCGTATGCACCATTATCAAACTTGGCGAGTACATTTGATAGGCAACAATTGGAAATAGGCATTTTGGCTCGCTGCCTTTGATTTTCGTTAGAGGTATATAGAAGTCGAGAACGTTCGAGCGGGTTTGACATTGTCAACAGAACAGCAAAAAATATATCTCCAGTACTTACACCGCTAAAGCGTAAATCCGCGCAACTAATTCTTAATCCGCTTTTTGTGAATTCTAGTTTATTTAAAGCCACACTATCGGCAATAGATAGTCCGAATTTTCCAATCCATTCGCAATAGGATAAGTCGGAAACGAATTGTTTGTTTCCCAGTATAATAACCTTACACTCGGGACTGCAAGTTGCATACGTATGTATTTGCATGGGATATTTATAGCTTTTATGTATGTCCTATTGATTGATTGTGCATAGGCGTGTATTTATTTTTGTATATTTTCAAATATACATAGATGTGAATATATACTCAAATATATATGCATACACACATAATATACTGTATATATTACTCAAGTGTTGGATATTCAAGATCCCTATTGCTAAGGCATATATAAATAACATTTTCCTGCCGGGGACGGCTTTAACGTGACGTAACATTAGGCTACCTTGACTACTACCAGCAGCGGTGGATAGAATAAACGGACATTGGTATGCCAGATATTTTGTTCGCTCCCTAGACTTATTTAAATATCAGGCTTTGTTTGACACTAGTCAAAGAACTGTTACGAATTCGATTACGATTCTCGTGACACGAATTAGGCGTCTTTCTAGCCGCGTACAATTTATTAGCGTCCCTCACGAATTCGAATTACTCAAATATAACTGGTACGTTAAGGATACTATTTCTCGGAAGAAAGTATCAGTTTGCAATTTGCATCAGTGTTTCAGCATACAAAAAATACGCGCGGTTCGATAAAGCCTTAATAATTTTAACCTCTTAAAAGGACATTAGAAATGAAAGGTCCATTACGAAAATCGGTAAGCCAGTCTGGTCAGTTATATTATTGGACTGTATCTTATATAAGAGATGGATTCTTCTTCATTGCGAATATCATCAGGAGCGCAAAAAAATATGGAGGTTTAATACGTGCATCCATATGCTGGTTACAGAGAAAGGCTGAACAGCTTCATGGGAAGGGAGATACAGTTGAAGTACGGTCTTTGTGCATTTATAGTTACCTTAAATATACCATATCACAGTATGACTAGTACTAGCTCCGGTAGCGATAGCAAAAATTGTTCATATCCATGATTGGAGTTAAAGGAGATAAAAAATAATTTTCTAGAATGATTACAAAATGAAAAAAAAATCACGGAATAATACCACTCCTGCTTTCACGTGATGGACGTTCATCGGTTTGTCCCTAATTAACGTCTGCGCTAGAGACATTCATTATAATAAAGATTTTTAAATTAGTGCTCTCGCATATGTCTTGTATGCTGCTGACAAGGCTGCCGCATTAATTTGGCAAAAATCGCGGGTATAACGGTGTAGCTGGAAATGCTTCTGGAACGTTCCATGGAAATCTCGAAAAAAAAAAGGGTAATAATCTTCCCTCGAATCAGCAGTATTCCAACTAAGCGCTTGTCATTAAAAAAAAATCATTGGTACGCGACTCCATGCGCAACGATGACATTCGTTATACACGAAAAGATCTGTCTAATCATGTTCGTGTGACCTCTGTGAACGTAAAGGGTAAAAAAAATAACCTCGAATCCAAATTTCTTCCACTGACTGTACTCCTGCCGGCAAATGATTTAGCTACAGTATCGAATGGAACAAAGGACGTCACGGTATAAAGTCGTGTAACGTGAAGGGAAATGCAATGCTTCTCTCGTAGAATATAAAGTTCTTAAGACAGAGTCAAAGTCTCTCGTGGAAACTCCTCGGTAGGTCTCTCGCGAGACAATCCAATTATGGTTGCCCGAAGCCATAAACTTCGAACCACCGACCGCGACTCATTCGTCATTCCTATAGCATTCGCAAACAATCTCTGCCGTATTGTAAACCAGCCATAACCTAATATCGTACTTACACGGACACCGTTCGGATTCCTCATGGAACAATAATCGCCTGACGGTTATTGGATCGTTGTTATTCGCTGACTTATCTATATATGCATATATACATATCCTACGTATATAATACTAAGAGTACATATGCGAATATATATATTCGCTCGAAGTTATACGCATTTATGCGAAGCCAAGCATATTCTCATGCACAAGTACTTCCTCAAACAGGCATCAATGTGATGCAACGTTGCCAACGTGAAGCATTCGATGTGAGGTACGAAGCTCTTCTGCGTTTCCTGGAAAAAAAAAAGTGACAGCTCGGTAAAACAAGTTATACCGTAGGGATTAACTGACGATCACGTGATATTCTTTGAACGATTTGAATTCATTGCGCCAAAAAGACAGCAAGCGCCTTCGACGCTAGAAATAGATATTGAACTGACGATAAGAACTAATAAGAACGTTATAATAAGAACGTAATAAGAAAATGGCGGTAAATACGAGACGACGGACGGCTAGTTATTTTAAACCTATAAAGTTACTAGATATTCCGATCACTTCCTGTGGCGAGCTTATTTCGTGTATTTCATACATATGTATATACACATATACATACTGTAATATGTATAAGAGTAATTGTACGATGAAGTGACATATATATTACGTAGTACAGAAGAATATACGTATAGTAAATAAAGGGACTCGAAGTCTAAAGAAATGTATTACGGGTGTACCGGTTACGAAGCGAGGCATGCTGGTCTCGAATGGCTGAAAGATACGATCGGTTTGCTTACGACAGTTTTGTACGCGTTTGCAAAATACGTGTAAACAATTTCGCGGTAAGTTCACGTGTTTTACGGCATGAGAAAAAATATACGTTAAAAATTTTCGGTAGAATCTACACGACGAAATATTTTTTTTCTTCTACAATAGATCGAAAAAATTGTATACGACCTATTCCTCTAATTATGATTTAAAGCGTATTATAATCCTTCATGGGCAAACATACAGAATGTAATATGCATGAAGCATCGTATATATATATATATATATATCCCTCAACTATCTCGTATATTCAAATAGCACATGGGCAAACATACAGAATGTAATATGCATGAAGCATCGTATATATATATATATATATATCCCTCAACTATCTCGTATATTCAAATAGCAACGAGTCACGTAGGGAATGCGGTCTACGTGCGTCAAAGTATTCAAGTGCAAGTACTTCAATTCGGTGCCATCAAGAGACTCGGTAGTCTCGCGTCATGTATTATGTCTTGACATGAGAAGGTATACGATAATAAAACGATAGTAAAAAATTTCTAACGTAACGTGAAAAAGTGGAAAAAGTTATAATTTTTCTCTTCTCCTTTCATATTAATATATATCCCTGTTTCCTTGTATGCACTTATGCCGATACTTCTATGCCAGGGGCATATTGCACGTAATCTTCATAAAATGCAAATGCATTGTGACAGAGTTGAGATCATAACGTTCGGAGTACATTGAAGTGCACGGAGAGAATATTTTATACGCACGACGATATTATTAATTGTGTTATGCAGAGCGGTTGGGGTCGCAATGAATTTCCACGGCGTCGATCAGTTAAGCCTCACGTCCTTTTTTCATAAAGGTCACTCCTCAATGAAATAACGCGAGCGCGTCCGGTTCCGTCGGTGCTCTGCGTATACGAGAAAGGGGGAGCAAAGACGGAGAATGTCGATTCTCGATATTGCGAAGCGCCGTAAGCGGCTGTTAATTCGCTATTGGCATGTGGAATTTAAAGTGGGCTAAACTTTGGCTCGAGGACGCTTTCGGACAACCGTTAAACCGCTTAACGAGGTAATTTACGGATTTTTTTATCCTGTAAATATATTTCGGGTACGGTTAGGGAGCAAATTAGTCTCTGGGCACAATATCTGCTTAGATATACGTTATTACGTTTAAATCAGCGTAAAATTTAATAAGGATTTCTATATCCAATCGGAGAAACGTACGCGCGTTACGGATACGGACGTAACCCAATTACAAGGCACGTCAGATTTTCCGTGTCGCTAAAAGTACCACATGCTCTCTCGCCGTATCGGGCAAGGCGAGTTGGACGAAACAAATAGAGAAAATTGGCCTCTAGAACGGTTAAGCAACCTTACGGAATGGACTTTCGAAAAGGAAGGCAGATCCCCGAGGAAGATTAAAGGGTGGAGACACGTTCAAGTCTGGAAAGGGTATCTCGTTGTAAATCTGTCTCTGCTTCGGCGTGTACAAGGAGCTGAGAGAGAGAGAGAGAGAGAGAGAGAAGGGGGAAGGACAAGAGGGGAATAACGGGGGAGAGGGGAGAATAAAGAGTGAAAGCTCCAGAATGCCTACGGAAACAAGAATACAGAGATAAAGGTAAAACGAGACCGGGTAAATTCGATGAATAATCCGGAGGCAGTTGCTTGCGCCCACATAACGTTAAATAAAAGGGGGCGCCATCTGCAGAAGAAAATGAATAGCAATAGCGGCGAGTAGCCAGCACTACGGTCAATGGGCACTCTGCCCGGCTGCACGGGAAGCATTCCCTTTTCCGAACGTATCGAATTAACCGGGCTAATGACTGGCGAAGAAACGAATAAATGCAACGAGGTCAAATTTCCCGCAGAACGATCCATTGCCGAAGTAAATTGCGCGTTCAGCGGAGGCGCGTTTCGGTTACGGGATAGAGGATGAAGAGTGCGAGTGAATAACGTAGAAAAAAAATATGGCTTAAAGAAAAATTATGAAAAACTAATAGGATCCGCTTTATTTTTCTATTATATATATATATTTCACTCTTTTTTTTTTCAACAATATTTTTCATTCCATTTTCCTTCCTTATCGAGACAACAAAGCCCGACCTCGCCAGGACGCTTCTTTCGCGAGAATCTTGAGGGTTGCACGGCGTAGCGGGAAATTGAAGAGAATTGAAGCAAATTGACTCCTACGCTTTGCAACGTCGTCAATTCGAATTGACAACGCTTCACGCAAATTGGATAATCGCCAGGAACGGTAGCGCCCGAGCGTTCCCGAGACGATCGTCGCCGCGCGGGTATTGCGAGAAGTCGATTTTCCTCGTTTCTGCATTATGCGCCCCTTCCCTTGTCTCGATACCCCCTCGTCCCCTCTCCCAATTCCCCTCACGCTCTCTTTCCCCCCCCCTACACTCCCTTTCCAACGCCCTTCGGCAACCCCGTCCTTCGTCTGCAGGCTCTTGCACATGCACCCACTCTCTTAAACGTCCTATCGATCGCGCGCGATAACAATTCTCCCCGAGACTGCGATATTTCGTCAGGCTCGAGGTGCTGGCGGCCCTGCACGTGAATTTCTTTTTAATCCTTTCTCGACGTTATCGATTCCCCGCCACCCTCACGTAATTCTTTCGACTTTCGTACACGTTCCATTCGCACCTGATATCTCCTTAATCCACACGTATTTTTTTTCCACCTCTCTCGCTCAAGTACTCTCGGCCCCATTTTATGTACCCTCGGACAATCAATCCTTGTAGCTTTTCCACGATACGCCTGTCCGTTCCTTTAGTACTGTTTCTCTCTGTTTTTTCTTTCTTTCTTTTTTCCTCTAACGTTTTCGCATTTTCCTTCTTTCAGGAGCCACTCGCGACTCCGAATCGTCCCAGGATGACCAGCAGAATGAAGGAGTGGGTACCGTACTGGTACTGCCTGGCAGGAAGAACCCGTTCGTTGGATCCGTTTTTGAAGACCCCGATCTAGAGGACGACACCATGGATACTTTTCAGTCTCCAGGCTTCTATATACCGTTCAGCATCAATCCGTTCAATGGCTTCTTGACCGGTATGCAAAGTTCATGCATAGCTATAGTCATTGGAGATATACGGCTGTAGACTTATCCCCGCGTATTTACATTCTATGAGAATTGCGGGACGCGATTTCCGATCTGGCTCGGTTCGTTGGTCATTGAAAGGAACTTTGAGACTCCTTCGTCTAGGGATAGAGGGGCTGATACCATAGCATTACGGGAAAATGTCCGACTCCGTTACACGCGCTCCCTTTGCTGCTTCTCTTATTGTTAGTCGTGCGGTATACGGAAGGGGCTGCGGAGTCTAATGGAAGAGCCAGTCGAGCCTGCGCCAGGTGACTCTCGAGATTTGCATCAAGGATGCTCTCTTGGGTACCCGCATCAGAGAAACGCTTTTCGGTATCACACTGTTATATAGATTTCTCGCAGTTGTTTTTCGGCAAAGGGATATTCCCTCTTTTAGCTTGGCCGAGCGGAGATTTTATGGAGTGACCGAAAAAGAAAATATTTGCGATTTTTGCATTTTTTGGAAAAACAATTTTTTCCTACAAATTAATTGCAAAAGACGAGATATGCTAATACTTTTTTTTCTTTCGACTTTATTTTTTTTCTGTCGACACTGCTCTTCCCCTGTTTACCAATTTCAATGCTATGACTGTCGTATACTTCGGTCGAGTCGTAATATAGATTATTTTTTTTATCTGCCTTATGCTTCGTTTGGCATTCGCGTATGGTTACGCAATCGTCGGGTGACTTCTCGAGAATTCGTAATGGGGCTTATAGACGCGATACTTCGTAGAAAGTATAATTAAGGCAGAGCCGGATTACAGTTCCGTGTATTGACAATACGAATGTGCGTTTCATTAATTTTGCTCAGTCTAATAGGAAAAGCCTACGGTAGCATCTTTCAGCCTTTCTCAGCTTTGGAACGATCACCGGAGTACGCTCGGCCACTGGCGGCTTATGAAAGTAAGCAGAATTATTTACAAAGGACAGGATGCAGGTCAGCGACAAGGTCGACTCACAACAAAGTTAAACCGACGTCACTTTCACCGCCGAAAGACTCGACGCGCAACGTAGTTTCGGCTGGCCTAATGAAAAATGAAAGAAAAATTAATACAAAAATACCATCGCACGGACCATAACAGTTTGTATTCGTAACGTTAGGTTAGGTTCGATCAGTGGGACAGTAATTTCATGCTATAAAACGAATCGGCCGGTTCTACCGACCGTTGCGAACAATCGTCGAGACGCCAAGGGGTCGTCCATTCCCTTTTCGCAATCATTCTTGTTGCTCTTTTTATTCTCGTTTACCTCTCGTTACCTTTGTAAGGAATAAGCTTCGATATTTTACCGTGGAAAATTATCATTCAGAGGCGCGTCGATGCTCGTCGAACCGACGACGAAATTTTACCAAAGGGCGGGGGGGTAAAAATGAGGTTAGAGGTTGGCATATATTTTTTTTCTTTATCAAACGTCGTTAGCCTTCGCAGTTGAATTATCCGCTTTAACAAATTAACGCAATGAATATTTATCGGTGGTTTTTTTTTTTTTTTATGAGGCGCGAGTACTCGCGTTTTGTATTTTACGTCGTAGTAATCGCGGAGCACGCGGCTGTTTTGCGATGCAGGTCCCGCATTCGTCGTTATAAAGTATTCTGAATTTATCAATTCCTCATACGTGCACGTCGTGTCTACGTGGGCGCGTATATTGTACGACAGGTTGATACGTAGTCTGAAAGTATTTATTTTCCAAGGATCGATTAGCCGGGCGTACGTGTAGTTAAATTTGAATCGCGGGGATTAATAGTAAAACCAACAGGGAGGAAAGAGGTCGGCCGGGCTTGTAAACGATAAATAATCATAC